AGGAGAAGGTGGTATCCTGGTTTGATGGTGGTGGGCTTAACCCTGGGGTGTCCATTATATAAGGTAAAGACACTGTGCATAGGTGCAATGTAAGGAAGCCATAAAACTAGACAATGAGTTTGCATTCTCAGACTATTGCCTCTTGTAATACATAATTAAGTTGAAATTTGTAAGTAATGCAAGTTCCATTTTTGTTCAGGGATAACAAAAATGCTGTAATTTGTGTCACTGCTAAATAGCCAGTTGCTGTCATGCTGTTTTTGATAAAGAAGTGTAAGAGATTTTGAGAATAATTAATGCAGTCTGAAGTTTGTACCACCACAGCGAGTACCATCTTTCTTACATAATAATGCATTGGAAATACAAAGACTTACTTCTCTGCATTCTGTAATTCGAGTGTCATTTGCAACAGGAACAGTTTTGAGAGAAACAACATCTTACTTGAGCTCTGGCAATGGACAGTGGTGGTGGGCTGCTGTCTAAAGAGCTGTTTGATGTGCTGCAGTGGGGTGTAGGAGTCCTGAATCTGGTTAGACATGAGACTACTTCCCAGCTCCCTCTCCTCTGAATCCCTCCTGGACTTTTTGACCTCAACTAAAACAGGCAATAGATATGACAGATGTGGAGCAGAAGGAAAGAGTTTATGAGGTCCCACAGGACTGACTACAAGATAAGAGGGACTATGAAAATATCCACGTGCACAGAAACAGGTACTTCCTGCTGAGATGGATTGATTATTGCATTGGGGTTTTTTTGTATCCAAGATTGGAGCAACAGACAAGTTTATCCTGTTGCTATCTGGAAGTTATGGTAGTGGGAATTCACCTCTGAATCCTTTAGGCAGAAGCAAGGTGCTTTGGTGCAAGTGTAACAAACGTAATGCAGTGTCTGTAAAATAACATGGTATTAGGTGTCATTCATAAATATATATTTCTAAATACACACCCACCCACCATCCTTTGGTAACCTCTGAGAATGGTAACCTCTCATAAGCATTCTGCAGCTACCAGAACTTACTTACCTATGCACACATTACTCTTAACAATGACACTGAATTGGAATGTTGCTTTTTAGTTGTTACAGTAATATCAATGCTCTCACTTTACCTATTTTACTTATAATTTCCTGAGAAACAATAGGGAATAAAAACCTGCAAAGCACATGAAACAGCATTGGCACTCCCACAGACTAGAGCCAGTTAAGACAGTAGATTAATAGTGAGCTGAGTAACACTGGCAGGAACAGTATGGGCTTTTATTGATTTGTTCTCTTGCTCTCTGTTCTTTCCAGAGCATCCACCGTTGGCTGCTGCTGGAGACAAGGTAATGGTCTGATATGAGGTGGCTGTTCTTAGGAACTCCATATGTTTTACATATGCTTCATCAGCTTGAGTGCCTGAATGCCTCTGGGCCTGAATGCAGTGGATATGGAACACAGAACCAGATCTACAGGGAGCCATGGGCACTATCACATTTAGTCAAATCAATTCTCCATCACTCATCACGAAAAGTGGAGCAACTGCCATGAAAGATATTGCAAATTACCTGTATGTTTTCAACTTTTTCTTTTCCTCACCATTTTCTGATCATCAATTATGGTCAAGAGGGATATGAGGATGAATAAACACTCTAAATAAGAAAACAAATTGAATAGAAGTTTCTCTGAGCTTGGATTAATATTTTAATCACTGTGTCACTGCATAGAAATGCTATGAATACCAGCTGGAGAAGGGCAGCAGTCTCCAAAAAAACCAAAACAAAATAAACTTGATCTATTAACTATGCTCTGGGCTTTGTTTCTGGACCAAAATTACTCCAGTACGAAAAATGGCAGGAAATTTGTTTTGTGAAGGTCAGGAATGAGCTGGGTTTGTTACTACTTGGCACGATAAGCATTTGCAGTACCAGAAAAGAGACTTTCAGTACTTGGGAAACTTTAGAATGAAAACTGAGATGCTGACTCAGCTTAGGTAGTTTCAAGGCTAGGTAACTACTACAGAAGCATTTTGGGGACAGCAGTTTGGACCCATGTGTGTGAAGAGAGATCTAAAGGTGAGTTATAGCTTTCTGTGAATTTAACATTCAGGAATTACCAGGAGGTCCAAAGCATCTTGTAGGAACTTGGTCTGAAATGCCTAACTTTTCAGACAATACACTTGCAGGAGACTTAATTCTTATGCTGATATGCAAATCCTAGGAGGCTGATGAAAGATTTCTTAATGTTAGGCACACTACACACGTGATCAGAGCAGGTGTTTAAACATGTACAGGATTGGGGTCTAAATTGTTTCTTCAGCAAGCGCTTTTGGTATAAATATTTCTTTCAACAGCAAGACTGTTGTTCACAGCACCATCAAAATCACATTAGGAAAAAACCTTATCTGTGTCTTTTGCCACATCAGTCTCATACTTCCAGTATGTTTCTTTTTTATTTCTGCTCTGCTCCAAGTTTTGAGGAAAGCATTTGTTCTTCAAGTAATATTGGGTCTTTAGTCAGCTTTATCTTGTTCCTCCTGAGGCTGATTGCACTGCAGCTGGCACTGTTAGAGAAACGTCAGTAAACTGGGGGGTTTTCCCCTTGTCAAGAGTTTTTGAAGGCTGCAAGGTGGTGTCCCTTGAAGTTTAATGCTCTGTATTCTCGTAATAGAGGAATTGACAGATGGGAATGGGTTTTAAGGAGCCTAGCGTAAAGGGCAAAATCTGTTAAGATGAAAAACTGTAACTAGAAGAATCTTTGTACAGATAAAATAATCATGTTTTAATCATTATAAAACCCTCCCTGACTCTTCAGATGCTAAAACCTCTGTAAGTTTCAGTATCACTGGAAATCTGCACCTGCAGCAACATATTTCTGTAGCCAAGAATAAAAAACATATCACAGGGAATATTAGTCTTCTCAGAATAGTTAAGCCTTATTCTAATCTGTAATTACTATTCTCCATGGCCGAATAAAGTCTTAGCTTGAAACAGATGGCCACCATGAACGCACAAACGGTGGCATTTGCTATGAGCAACATTTGGCTTCACAGCAGCTTCTCCCGGTGACATGTAACAGCATGTAGAGGGCACATCTGTTAACTGAAGAGGACATGTTGACATCTGCAGCAAAATTGGCACAGAAAACGCGTGCTGTAAAGAGTATCCCTTCTTCTCTCCCTGCCCTGAGGATGGACTGAGTATCTCTGGCGGCAGAAGCACTGTTGATAAGGTGGTGTTGGCCTTCAGCTGGTGCAGGTCAGCGGGAATAAGTTGGACTTGGGGAGCATAGAGCAGCCACAGCAGCATAGTGTTTGCATAGTGTCACTCAGGTGGGTTGGTATAGCTTCCAGCTTGTTCCTGTGAGCTTTGCAAGCTTGCTTATCGCTCAAGTGTACGTTGAAAGTTCTCAGAGTAGAGCCTGTGTCCACAAAGCTGACTGCCTAAATCTGAACATATCATTGGGAAACATCATTTCTCCACACTGACACTCATGTAATGCTCAAGGCATTAAGCTTTAAATAAAGTGGTTTTCCCTCCCCCACACTTCCTTCGAGAAAGCACGGGAGGCGGGAAGGACCCGCTCTGGCTTGGATTTGCTGGGCGAGAGCTCACCCTGGCGGCCTGTGGGGAGCTTGTCCTTTCAAGGGATCACGCCTGCGTTATACTTGTTCCTGCTACTTTCAAGAAATATTTCATCATGGTACTCTCATTTTTGCATTGACCTTATGGTAATCCTCATAATGAGACATGAAGACTGGAAAGAGATGCTTCTAAAATGGTTCAACTATGCTTTGCACATATGTACGTCTGTACGAATGTATTTAAAATAAGTTTTTCTCTAACTTTTTAATAGGGAAAATATTTTTTTTGGTGGCTATACAGATTGCCACCCCTTTGAAAATGTTTCATGACTTCTCTCTTCTTGTGTCCCGGAAAGAGGCTCTTTGCCTCTGCAACATTCATAGAATCATTGAACGGTTTGTGGTGGAAGGGACCTTCAAAGGTCATCTAGTCCAACCCCCATGCCATGACCAGGGACATCTTCAACTAGATCGTGTTGCTCAGAACCACATCTAGCCTGGCCTTAAGTGTCTCCAGGGATGGCTCATCCACTACCTCTCTGGGCAACCTGTGCCAGTGTTTTACCACCCTCTTTGTAAAGAATTTCTCCAGCCTGAATCTCCTCTCTTTTAGTTTAAAACTGTTACCCCTTGTCCTATTGCAAACATTCATTTGTGCCAGGAAAAACAGTGCTTATTCCTCCATTCAGAGACATCATAAGTAAGCTGCAGTACCCTGTGAACTCTAAACCTGTTCACTGTACAGAAACAAGTGCCAGGATCTCAGTGGATAGCTGAGGGTATAATTTATTTATCTTTGGCTTTTGTTTCTTATACATTAGGTCAAACCCAGTGTGCTGGGAAAATAGATATATAAAATATTAGAAAAAAAAAACTTTGAGCTTTCTCAGGGTATGGCAAAATACTTTCTTTTGTAATTAATGTTGTGAAATCCAGATTTATATCAATGTAAAACCTGCATACCAATTGTATGTCCAAATATATTTAAAAAGAAGGAAGATCCTTATACTGGGACTGTGAAATGTATTTTAAGGATGAGACCACATTTTTCTTACTAGACTTTGAATGAGGATAGTTGATATTGACCAGTTGGAGCTGAGTCTATCCAGGAAGTCACCTTAGCCCAGCCAGGTACACCTAGAACTCAGGCCACATGAGGACTAGGGCACAGACCTGAGCTTAAATGCAGCTCGAGAGCCAAAGTGAGAGAGGTGTGCGGGTGGAGGGAGAAGATAAGGCTTCTCACAGCTGTTCTCACAGAGCCCTTGTCCTGGTTACACAGCTGTGCCATATCAGAGCATAGCTTGAATGCTGGCAGCTGAAGTCTAGGGGGTGGGTGGATGACACTGATAAAGATTTTATAGGAGAGGAAGGTTGCAGGCTGCTCAAGGTATTTGCAACCTCTGTGTTTTCTTAAGGTTTTGACCCTGAAATTATGTTTATTATTTTGAGTTAGGGGTAGTGAGGCATTCTGGATTTTAGATGTTCTAGCTATGCAGACAAGTATGAAATCTTTTCTTACTGCTACTATGGCATGAATTCAGGAAGCTTCAATAACCCTTGTACTTTCATTATGGTCAAGTGCTGCATAGTATGAGCAGCTTGGTAGCTGAGCTACAAGGTAACATAATGAAAAAGAAATGAAATATTGATCATGACAAAGCTTTTTTTCTAGGATGTGTTATTCTCCACTGGATTTGGTTTCTTGGTCCCATATTACACTAGACGCAAAACTTATTTTCAGCTGTTTTCTATGATATTAGACCATCTCTTCTATTTCTCGGCCAAATGATTTAATTATTGCATGCAAAGTGGAACAGCTTTAACAAGGGTAAGAATATTTGTTGTTTGAATGCTAAGGATTACACGCTCAGATACCTTTCTGATGTACTTTTAGCCTGGCATTTCTTAGTCATTGTAAGTGCTAATTTATTTGGCGCTCTGCTCCATCTCTTGTTGTATGAATGTTCCATCCATAGCTGCCTCGCTATCCTTATGTATTGGGTGCTTTTATTTTATTTTTTTTCCAGCCTTTGTGAAAAGCGTGTATTTCATTCGGTGGCAAGGCTGTTGAAAATTGTTTCTTTGCCAGCATGAATCCTGCAGATTCCAGAATTGTCTTTCTCTTGAACATTCTGTGTGAAGTAGGTTGGAATATTTAATAGGAGAAAGGGTGCATCTCCTAAAATAAAGGTACTTGTGACTGGACACTTTAAACTGAAAGAAGGTAAATTCAGACCAGATATTAGGAAGAAATTATTTGCTCTGAGGATGGTGAGACACTTCAGAGGTTGCCCAGAGAAGCTGTGGCTGCCCCATCCCTGGCAGTGCTCAAGGCCAGGTTGAATAGGGTTTTGAGCAACCTGGTCTAGTGGAAGGTGTCCCTGCCTATGCTGGAGGGGTTGGAACTAGATGATCTTGAAGGTGTCTTCCAACTCAAGCCATTCTGTGATAAATGGTGTTGGTAGAATAAGAGTATCCTAGCTAGGTGATGAGTTGCAAGCCTAGCTATAGGATGCAACACTGCTTAGACTGTAGCTATGTGCTGATAAAAGTTGTAAAAAAAACATTTACAAAGCGGTTGTTTTTGTAAGCTATCTTTTATTCATTTCTACCTGAAAGGAAGCAAATTAGCATGCAGTTGGAACTCAGTACTCTGAAAGCAAAATGATTTTTATAGTGTATGAGAGCTACTATGACAGATTCAAAAACTGTGCAGTTCTTTGAGTCACAGGTAATTGTCAGCAATCTAATACTCATGGATGCTACAATAGATACTTCTGTGCTATTATCTGGAGCTATGATATGGATTTTGTGAGTTCAATAAAAAGTAGTTTTGAGAATTTTATATGGTAATGTTCCCCTCCCCTTCTGCTTGTATCCAACAGGTAACAGGTTGTGATAACACCTGTAGGCATCATTATGGGACAAAAGCAGACAATAATAAGATTTAGGAGAGAAAAATCTGACAAGATGCTGTGTAAGATAAAATGCTGTCATGCCTGAGTTAGGCTTATTAAAGCTGTGGGGGAGAGGGGAGAATTCTCTGCATTCTCCCAAAAGACAGGAGCAGTCACAACAGACATCCCGAAATCTGTTGTAATAGTTTTGTACGAGATGATTCAGTTCTCCAGCTACAACACCTAGATGCTTTTGTATAAGTGAATACTTCTTGCAGTGAGTTTTTATTAATAGCAATGCTAAATATGCCATTGGTTTAAAGAAGCAGCAGAATGCAGTGGATGATGTGCTGAAACTATCAATCTTATGAAACTAATGAACTCTTTGTAAGGATTGTAAATAGATTTTTAAGATTGAACGTGTCTGTCTATGGCTTTAGATTTTTCCTGAGTAACTTGTGTTTTAAGAATGATATGTTAATAGGCTGAATGGTGTGTTAATAGATTTTTGTGTATATATTGGAGTAGAATTTTAAAGGGATCCACTATCTGAATTTAGATCTATCAATAGGCACCCAGATTTTCAAAATATGTCAGTGCTCAATAGGACATGAGAGGCAAATCTTAAGCCAGACTTAAAATTTGGTCTGCACCTAGCAAGTCCTTATTACTGTTATTGGGAGCTGCTAAGCATTTAACAGTTCTGGAAGCGTTGTCTGTAGTAGTCAACTCGCCTATTCCCACTGATATTTAGGCAAAACTATTGATTTCAGATGAGCATGGTCAAGTCTCTAAGGTCTTATTTCATCATTTTGTCACTCAACAATGTATGTTACGCTACAGTGATAGAGATCTCTTACAGTTTAATATACTATTCTGTAAGTATTACCATGTTGATACTGAATTTTCCTGAATTCTGAAATGCACAAGAAATTTTATATCTCTTACATTTTTTGTAACGTTGCTATGGAAAGAGACATGAAGATATCTTCAGTTATTTTCCAAAAATAGATTTTCATGAGAAATGCTTGAATGCACACTAGAAACTCAGGGTAGACTAGAAAGTAAGATTCTTCATGTGGGGTAAATTATCATTGGTTTAAAGAGTGATGGTGTTTCCTGGCAGACTCATAAGAAATGTTTTTAGTGTTTAATTCATGCAGTGTGTGCACCATGAGCTTGCCAGATGCATGGTGACATTCTGGATGTCTGTAATGCCATATTTCCTCTGTGTACAATTCTTATCAATAAGAAGATCCCTTCTTATTGATTGGGTTGATTGGCTTTATAGTGCTCTTGCTCTGTGTTGATTACAATATATCATTCACTTGCCATGTTTGGTCAGCAGATGGATATGGACATCATACTGTTTGCCAAGGCCATGTCCTCCCTGACCAGAGAATGACTTGCCAGTGATTGCCACCACCAATGGTATTTCTAGTGTGCTTCTATAAAACTGTTGTTATTAACCCAGCAATGGTGCAGTAAGTTCTACAACATATGGTTCAATTCTTTAGGATATTGAGATTCCTCATCAGGGCATCTGCTGCTTAATATGTCAGAAAACAGAGGAAAAAGGCAAGTACGTCTTTAATTTCATGTTAGAAAATGCAGACAGTATGAAAACCACTATAAATTGACTGTCTATTTACTATTTGTGAAGTGAAATAATTTGAACCTTCTTCCAATAAAGCTGATGATAGGGTCCAGAAATGGCTCAGATTGCACACTGAAGCTGTACCAATTTTATCTGAGAGATCCCTGTAATTGCAGCAATAGAGTGACTGCAAATTCATGTTGCTTAGTGATGTTATGGACAGAGCTATGAGGAAGGAGCTGTACTTTTAAACATATGCTTACTTTCACTGACTTTTCTATTTGAATGTCATTTGCTACTTGCATATTACTATTTTAGTATTATGCCCTGGCAAGACACAGTTCCTGCATCCTGTGTTCATTGAACTTGTGCTTGTGAAGCCTTACCTCAGGGAATAGCTTTGTGTGAGGAGGAAAGTCTTCAAGGACGCTGCTATGTCAAGCATATCCATAAATCTTCGCAGGTTCCAGACACAGTCTAGTTTTGCTAAAGTTAGTTACAAGTGCAGTGTAACTGTGATGCAGTGTAACTTAATGGGTTTTGTGGAGAGGATGTACAGGCTTCCCCATTGAATGGTAGCCATGCAGGGGGTTAGATAACAAATACTAATCACCTTTAAGAAACATAACAATATGATGCATCCATCTTCACCTAACTTAATATTTATGCTTGCATATTCTCATTTTTATAGGTAGTAACATTATCAAAAGTACCTGTTTATCAACAGAAAGTTGTAATAGAAATTAACTGAAAAGATTAATTCCATGCATGTACTGTCAAATGTAGGCTCAAAAGAGGAAATGGTCTTTCAACCAGTGAATGAAGCAATCCTACTTTTGCCAGGTCTTAGTGCTGTAAAATGTTGCATGGAGAGAGTCCTTGAAAAACTACAGGAGATGGGTAGAATCTCCAGGGTTACAGTGATTTTTAGGAGAAAGATGCATTAAAATATTCACATACACCTGAGTGCTCTCTAGCAAATATGGGCTAAATGAAAGATTTTTGTGCTACACTTAAGAAGAAACCCCATGATTCTATGATTTTCTGACTCTGAGGATCAAGTCTCATGAAGCTAAGACGTGGAGGGTCAGATCTATTTGATTAAATTCTGAAAAGATTTTCACAGGATGCAGAACAGACATGGCTGCCCTTGACTTCTGTTGTCTTCAGTGAGTGTGCATCATACTACAGCTAAAGGAGTATCTGCAGAGCTAAATATGTGTCCCAAGACTTTAATAGTTTAATGGTGGAGTCATAATTGTAATACAGTCTTCTGAGTATTGAGGAATAAGATTAGCTTGTTTGTGGTTTTTTTTCTTCCTAAAATTGATATATGCCTATTTTTCATTTGTAGCAAGGTAAGATTTATTTTTTTTTAATGCCAAAAAGCATGGGGTTTTAAACTAATTTAATTAAAATTGGGAGTTCTATCTTAGGGTGCTTTTTTAAAGTAATATATGTAGACACACAGCTGTCATTATTTGTTAATGATTTGATTTTGGGCCAAAGTAGGAGACCATGTTTAAAAAATAAAACAGCTGACTGCCATGTTACTAAACCAAATTTAAATCACCTATGAAAAGAATGCCACTGATAAAAAGAGAGCCATACCACACTATCAAGTTTGAAGCACTGAGGTTTTGTTGTTGTTGCTTTGAAGTGCCTCTTTTCCCTAACTATGTGAAGGCTATTTGTTTCAGTCAAATTAGAATAAAATTAAGGCAAAAGCTTTCTATGCACAAGATATTACAGACACTTAAATTGATTTGGGTAGAACAAAATCTAGTTACTCTAATCAAATGAGGTGTGTATTATAAGGATCAGAGAAGAGTCAGCAGTATGATGAGTGTATTCTTCTTTGCATTTGTGCTAAGGCTATGGAAAGGTTACATAAGTGTAATTAAGCTATATGGGCACTTAATTTGATAGGAGTTCATATTTAGCTTTAGAATAGAAAAGGTATCTTGATACAGGGTAAACTGCAATGAAATATTCTTAAACCAACGTAATAATTTTATATGGCTTTAGTCACAGCATCTGAATAAACTGGACAAAGTTAAACCAGTGCAATTTTTCCCAAGTAAAATAAGACCAGAGAACACTTGTACATTTCTCTAAGAGGCTGTAGGTTAAAGAGGGGCTGGAAATGGGCGGCTGTGTCCTATGTGCTACAAATGTCCCTCTGAAAACCTGCTTGACTGTGGCTACGCTGCAAGTCTCTGCAGAGTTTGCATCTGCTCAACAGGGGCTTGGCTACACCTCCCTGAAGGTACCACTGGGCAAAGCCCCACCCAGCCCAGTGGGCTATGGTACGATATACAAAGCTTGTATTCATGTCATGTTTCAATGTAACTTTATTTGCTCAGTTAACTTTATTCAGGCAAACAAACTGTCCATCAAAAATAATCCTTTTTTAGAGCCAAAATTTCTCTTTGCTTGCTTGTGTTCAGGAAAAGAAATGGTTTCAGTAATTCAGTAATTGTTGTGTGTGTAGTTTTTTTGACTTGAGATTTTTTTGTTGGGTGAAAGATAGTTCCCTTTTTGCTCCTATGCAAATTAAATTTTCCATGGCAAGATTAATCTTTTAGCTGGAGGTCAAAGGCAGTTGGCATAGTTTTCAAGTCATCTGAAGAATAGTTAAAAGTCATGGCTATATATAAAGTGCTGAGCAACAAGTGACATATAATTATATGATCACCTTACCTAAATTTGTCTGTAAAGGAAATAACGTTTTGTGGTATGTTAAGAATTTGAAACCTTATTCAAGTTTCATTAGTCTCTTTAAAGATTGACAGCTCTTCCCTATTTCCCCCAGGCTCTTCAAATTTATTGCCAACATTATCTTTGCCTAGCTGAGTGAGTGAAAACAACCCAATTCCCCAAGTACAGGGCAGGAATCCTGCTGGCTGATAGTTTACAGCCTCTTGTTTCTTGCCTGCTCATAAACATGCTGAAAATAAGATTATGGGATGAGTGTTTACTGGGCTCTGGTTGGGTCTAGTAGGGTAAAAAAAAACCCAGTCCTGCTTAGTCTCATGACATGATGTGACATGTCATGCTGGTAATCAGGTCAGTCATGTGGAGGGGTTCTAGTGATGGAGAGCCAAAATAGCAAGAGCTATGATACCTTCTCTTTCTGCAGCCCTAAGGTGAGGCATGCCTTGGGGAATAAATTTCCTAGCTCCTTTGCTTGGAACTCCTTGGTGCCCACTTTTTGAGATTGAAAGGGCAGTGTCAACTGGTGTAACTTGAAGGGCACTCTGTCCCATGTCTGCTTGTCTATGCAGTCCAGAAATATTCTTTGCTCTTTGAACTATTCTGATTGAGATTAGTATAATATAGAGCTACCTTTCCAGTACTGTCACTTTTGGTGGGACAGCACCAGGTTGTGTATAGGCTGATAGGTTAATTTACTTTGCCCAGAGGCAGATATTTTGAATTATTAGCTAGGATCAGAATAAATTAGCGCATGGGAACTCCGGGCTGCTGCAGCTGGGTTAGTTTTCAGATGACTTGGAAGCAATCCATGCACTAGAGACCAGGGTAACCATTTTTTTGGTCTGGATATATGTGGGCCCTGCTCCTTGTGATATGTCATTTGACCAGAGCTTGCTCTCTGGCATTATTATGTGACAAAGCTAGAAAGATGTCCCTCCAACAACTCCTGCTGAAGGAGGGGAAAAATGCCTGCATTAAGTTGTGACCTGTTGGAAGTGCTGAATTCAATAGGGTTTGTTTTTTCCCCCTCCTTCTGCTGTGTTAGGGATGAATTGTCAGGAACACAATGAAAGTGGGGATAGAAAATCCTCTGTCTTAGCGTAAGGTGTGATGAAATAATGTCTTGATTCTAATAGGAGTGATATATGCATTTTGGGACTGCCCTGGCCAAATCAAAGGTGTATCTACACTTTTTTGGCCAGGTATTTGTTTACAATGCAAAATAGAATTAGATGTAGTTTCATGGGGTAGAACAGGCTCTGGTGGATTTGTCTTAGCTCTGGATAATTTCTGAGGGTTAAACAACCTTGTGCAAGAGCTACTGGGAATGGTTGAGTTCTATGCCAGGTAGACATGTCCAGGATGTGACCCATCTTTCTTCCAGACTGTTTGGCTGTCTATGTACTGTTCTTCGCATTTCCTGTCCACTGTGAATTTAGGTACAGATAGACTTGGCTTTGCCTGCTTTGCCAGCATTATTATTTTGAGATCTGGTATAAAATAATTCAAGGCTTCTTATTTTTTACCTTGCAGACTCAGACTTCCCTTTGGACCAGATGCTGGTTAAGTGCTCACCTGTCACATAAGAGCTAGCATGTACTACACTGAGTAGCATTAACAGAGAAAAAGGATGGGCTTCTAACTCCTCTGGTAAGTTTGTTCTGAAGTGAATATATAGTTAAAAATGTATTTAATATAAAAATCAAGGTTCTTTTTTAATAGTTATTTAATCTTCTGTTCAGTACACAATTAGGCTGTAAAGCTAGTAAGTTGGGCAAAAGCACTTACAAAACTTGCATTCCCGTTTAGGTTTATTTGATAATACTGGATTTGGTTTTTTTTAAGGTTTTTTTTTTTTTTTAGAGTTTTGGCAAATTTTTAGGATGTCTGATGTAATGGCTGGAAAACCGTATCAGAATTCCCATGGCAAGGTGCATGGATGCTAAATTATGCCACTTGGGTTACCAGAAAAGGTTATAACTTGTTTGGATTAAGCATTTTCTTCTGGGAGGAGGGATGGCTGACAAAGGCTCACCAGGCAGAACCAAATAGTCAGTATCTTCCCTACCCAGCTCCACTGTGGAAGCATAACATTTAAAATATTCAGCTCTGGTTTATATTGGAGTTTGTGAGGAACATTACAGAGACTAATGTTTCCCATTTCAGTTGCTTTGTTTTTCTACTCTTGTTTTAACCATGTATTTGCATGCATAGGTAGTGTGTGCTTACATTCTTGCTTGTCCACACTGAATATGGCAAATCCACTTCAAATGGTGTTAGCATTACCACAACAAAGGAAGCAAACAAGTAACTCGGGGGAAAAGATTTTTCTCCAAAGTTAAAGCTTCTTTTCCCAAATAGTTGCATGTAGACACAGTTCCACATGTTTTTAAACACCACTTCCCCCACCCCGAAAAAACACATAAGATTTTAATGTGTGCAACAAATTTCCATATGGAAACATTGGTTGGAGAGAGAGGTACTGGCTGGCTAAAGGGACTGTAACAGGGTACAGTTTCAAAGAGGACTCGGGTCAATAATGCCTAAAAACTGTCACCAGCATCTAATGGTTCTGTGGCCTTTAAAGCAAAATAGTTTTGACAAACACATTTAGGAAAATTTGTGTAAGCAGGCAATATATTAAAGATGAAGAATGTAACATTCCTCAGAATCTTTTAAGGCAGTAAGAAAGACTTCCTATCCTTTCACAATGGACTGCTTCTGCATTGCTGTTTCCCATTCTCTGTTAGTCCAAGGTCATTCACTTCTGTAATAAACAGCTATCTGATACAATCTGTCAAATGGTTTTATTGCTTACAAAGGTATTCTGTTTGGAACAGTGTACCACAGAAGCTCCATTAAGACATCATCAGATTTCCTAGCATTGCATTTTAATTTCATTCAATGGGACTTTAACAAATTGTAGCATCTGTTAGCCCAGTTTTAGGCTTGACTTGAAGACTATACTAGCTGATTAGAAATCCACCCCACAATCACTTAAGTGCAGGAGTGTCTTTATTAGCCAAGTGGTTTCTGAGGTAATGAGTGCTCTCAATAATCACAGATGTGGGAAGGAGCTGAGAGGGCTGAGCAGGCTGCAGGGAGATTTGCATGTTTCCCTGTGTGAACAAAACTATGAAAAGCAAAGAAATTAGGTAGTGGTGTAATTATAGGTCTCATTTGTCATACATGGCATATGTGAAACACTTAACAGGTCCCCAAAGGTGTTTTATGTATGTATGTATGGCGATTACCTGGCATCTATGTCTTGAGCCTTCAACAGGTGTTTGTGAACTGGGGATAATATGTACTGAATTACCCCTGGTCACAAAATTCAGCCAAAAGTAAAACATCTAGTTCATAAGCATTCTGTTTATCTTGAAAGAAATTGTGTACATTATGCCCACTCAGACCCTAGTTAATCCCACAAGTCCTAAACAGTAAGTAGTAGGATGCCAGATATAAATCAGGGTATATGGTCTGTACTTCACACAACTGCATGCCTTTTTGGTTTTAGGTCCATGCTATTTCTTGCTCTACTCATGAAGTTAGACGGCCCTCTGAGATTCTTCTTTGAAGGATAATTCTTCTGTGAAGCTCTTTATGTTGGGTGTCCAACCCCCACACCCACAACAAAAAACACCAAAAAAACAACCCAAGCACAGCAACTACACCAGCCCCAGTGACAAGTACAGCAGCATGCTTGAGAGTTCTGGTTTTGAATGGCTTTGGGTACCCTTGGAACCTGCCTGCTGATTGTGATGGTGTTCACTATGTTGGCACACATGCAGAGTGTGTTTTACCCACCACCATTTGTCTGATCCAAAATTTAAGCAGAGTCGGGTTTGGGTCTTGCTGGGGTTAGACAACAATATGGGAGGACCAAGAGGTTTTCCCCAAGGCTGGACAGTCATGAGTGGCAGGGCATGTGGGACAGTATGGGCAAGTATCTATCCACTGGGCCCCTCCAGTGCTTTGGAAACATTGGAGATGGAAGGACATGAATTATTTTGAACCTGGTGGGCCCATGACCCTTAAGGCCAACAGAGCAGAGTGCAACATGAGATGGACTCATGATCGAGGGGTGGACTTAGCAATGGACACTACTGCCCAGGTTATTCATGTGTGTGAACACCGCACACAGCCTCTCCTGCTCTGAAAGACTGCTACAAGAGATGGAGCCTGACATCATGGACCAGATGGACTCAACAGCTTTATAGGGACTGACCCATGCACTACGATGAGAGTGCACTTAGATAAGAGTGATGGTATATTGAAAATGTGGGATCTGAGCATGACGTGAATGGTATGGAATAAGGGTGGATAATGTCCTGGGTTTAGCAGTGGCAGTCATTTTTCTCTTTCTTGGTAGCTTGGGTGTGAGCTTTTCTTTTTTAATTGTCAGCCATATCTAAACACCTTTCAGCTTGTACCAGGAAAGTGTCACATTTGTGGTCAATTCTGACAACAACATGAGGGAAAGTCAGGCTTCTTTTGTGCACTGTGTAAAGTATTGGATACCTCCTTTTTAGTCATCAGTCCATTACTTGGACCAAACTGATTAAGAGGGACACTTAAAGTTACACTGGCCTGTAGGACTATATTTCAAGTTAAGTGCAGTTGTAGGTTGAATTCTACTTCTGTATACCCAATTCTGTTTACATAAGAACTGATACAACTTCTTGAAGAAGGAATGCGTATTCATCTATCTTCTATAGACCCCAAATAAAGACAAATGAATTTCCATGTGAACTTCTTCATGCCAGTTTACATTACCACATATTTTCCAGTATTTTAGTCATTACTCAGAGACCAGCAGACAAGGGAAAGGACAGGCTTGTCTGAAGTTGAGTTAACATCTTATTTTTAAACACTACCACCTCATGTTTTAGTTCTGTCTCCAGTCTTGCTGCTAACACTTAGGGATTACTTTGATTTGTGTGAACAACCCACTGGCCAAACAGGTAAGTAAAATGTCATCCCCCCATTCCCCCTGAAAGCTGCTATGTTTAACAGAATAGCATATAGAAAACAATCTTTTAATTTGTATCACATACTTCAAGAATATGCTATCATTACAAAAGCATATTGCCTGACATGTGGGGAGAATGATCTCTGAAAGCATTGGGACTAGACACTCAAGCATACATCTCTCTTTCTAAGTCAGTCCTGGCTACCTGTTTAGCTAACTGCAGACTACAGCAAAAAAGGAAGTTTCTACCCACAACAGTGGTTTCTACATTCAAGGTCCTGTCTTGCAAGCACATGCTTGCAGAAGAAATAGAAATACTGTCATTCTAATTTAATAGTATAAAAAATAAGTGAATGTGCAAGTTCAAAGTATTTGGGCTTCAAAGAGTCAGTGACAGTGCTATAAGCACTTTATTACCTTTTTAGAGGTAAGTTTTCTAACCTTAATGCTGATGTTATAGTAGAGGAACATAAACCCCTGGCCCTGCAGTATTCTTTCTGCGTATGCCACAACAGCAACACCTCCACTGACTGATGGAAATGGCTTTTCTGCTACTGCTCCTTCTTGTATTATTCAGAGCAGTTCTTGTAACTCTTCCTTGAGAATGCCTCACCTACTGATGTGGTTATTGTTCATGATATTTATAGTCTCAGCACTTGGAGACCAGGCTAGGCTGTGTTCAGGAGAGGAACAATGTGCCTTTTGCCATTAATTTCAATTGAGTTGCACATGGGATTAATTAGCCCATAGGCTGGAGTGGAGAAGCTGTCCAGTCCTAATGCATTTTTGCTTTATTGAAGGTGATTGATTAATTAGGGATTTGGATGATGAAAAATTCTACAATGCCCTAGAACTGTGCTATGAATTCAGAATGACTTTTCACTGAGTCTCCTAATTTCATAGATGATTTTTTTTTTCTAGTTGCACATGGGAAATCTGATGCTGAAATGTATAGGAAGTTTGAATTTCCTCTGCCCCAGGGTGTTGCAACAAAGATGCTCTGTAAAAATCTCTGTCTAGAAAGATCAAAGGAATCATGTACCAGGTTAGAAATTCTCTATGGAGTTGTCCGTTTCCTAAATACTGACTGTCTTGTTCTGCCCTTGTTCCCAGAATTCATCATGATGGTTTCCTAGTAATGTATATCAGAATCACACACTGCAATAACGAAAAAACAATGTAATAAAAGGGATAACGTAGGAACATTGATGAAAGCTGTATCTGGTCTCCACAAAGTAACAAAGTAACCAAGTCTGGGTAATCCATAGGTATCAGACTTTTGGCAACCACAGTTACAATGTCAGTAAGAACTCAGCCGCAGTAAGGAGTACAGAACATGCAGCTACCCACTGATAGACACTTTGAAATACAAGGTTGATAGCTTTTCTTTCATTTTGTTGTGGTTTTGCCTGTAAAAATACAATGGGTGTCATTATTTGTAAAAAAACAAACAAACCAACCAAACAAAAAAAGATTGCTAAGGGTAATATTTAGTCTGAAGTCCTTCAGATTTGTGAGGCTTGCTGCTTTAGAGATGTATGGGGAAGAATGGCTGATGAACTTCATAATTTCTAGACTTAAGTGACAATAGGTTCTGTGGATCTCCTTGGTATAAGAACAACCTGTCTGATGTTTACTGTACTGGAAAAAAATATATATATATATTCGTTTTGTTGTAAAGAAAGTTTGTGAGCACATCAGGAGCTCTGCATGTAGAGCCATCACCTTTCTGCTGTTGAAATGCTCTGGACTTGGTGGTTCTTCATCCATGCATCATCTAACTTATTATTTTTTTAAACAAATATTGATAGATCTGATTGAAGTTCTCAGACTGACAGGGCCTACAGGTACCAGTGGCAAGTGTTTCACAGGGAGATGGGGGCCTCAAAACAGCAGTATGGCTTCTGTGGATTTCATGGTGCTCTTTGTGTTATATATTTTATATCCAGCTTGTTTGAGCTTATTTTGTTCATGGGTGTAAGCAGGTGCATATAGCTCAAGTGCAGCATGGCTGGAAAAGTAGACATTTGCTGTTGATGTGATGTGAATACCAGGCGGTTCCTCGCACAGAGACACCCGAGTAGCAGCGTGTTGTGCGGTTGGGGTGCATTGCCCGCGCCATTCCTTGAAGTTGACCTTGAACTGCGTATGACCCCTCAGCAGTTGCTAACGAACTGCTGCGGGCGGTTACAGATGGGGGAAGCTGCTTTCCATCGACGCCACCGCAGATCCGAGAGCCGGGGACCCAGCCCTCTGTTAGCTGCACCGGGGGGTCAGGGCTTTAGAAAGCCGCTTCCCGCTGTAGCCGGCCGGTCGCCTCGAGCCCCCATGGACTTGAGGCAGCAAACGGCAGGAGCTACAGAGCGCCGGCTGGCCCCGCCGGACCGGGGCGGTCTCAGCCCCCCTCGGGGCGGTGGGACGGTGCTACCTGCCGCCGCTGGGCAGGGCACCGCCTCCGTGCGGCCCCGGGGCGGAGCCCGAGGAAGTGACTTCAGCCGGCGGCGGCGGAGGAGCGGGGCTGAGCGGAGCATGGCAGCAGCGGCAGTGGTGCGGTCCCTGCTGGCGTCCGGGCGAGCGGCGCCGGGCGGGCAGCGATGCAGGGCCCTGCCCGCCGCGGGGGCCGCTGCCTTGTGTACTGTGGCCCCGCAGCAGCAGCCGCCGCCTGACATGAAGAACTACCTGTGGTCGCGCTACAAGGAGGCCAAGAGAGCCACCAAGGGTGAGCCGGGACGCGGGGCCCGCGGGAGCCGGTCCCTCTCCCGCTGCAGATCGGAGTGCCGCCGGTCCTAAAGCGAATAGATACATGTTGGCGGTGCGGAGCGGAGGAACGGTGAGCCCTGTGGGCGCCGTTCGGCAGCAGGAAGGGTTCAAGGAGCGAGGGGTGTGTGTGTGTGTGGGGCGGCGATGAAGCCGCCCCGCCTCTACCCTTGCGGGGTTCGTGGCCGTGGTGAGCGTCTGTGGGTCTGTCCCGCAGAGCTCCGAGAACCCGCCGTCTCTGCTCTTGGAGACATCGCGGGTCTGGTGACCAAGTGCTCTCGCTCCTGCTGTCCCAGGTCGGACGGGGAGCGCCGGTAGGATCGTTGCCTCACAGGTCTCCGGATCCCCGGAGACGTACCGCTGGAAGTAGCTGCCCCTCTTAATTCCACCGGCCTGTACCTGTTAGGAAGGGCCTCGGAGGAAAAGCCTCTCCTACAGCGTAGCTTGGGCTAGGCAGAGTGGTGGGTTGCTCGAGACGTGGTGTTTGGAGAAAGGCAAGTGTAAAAAGAAGGTTGGGAAGTTGGTTGTCTGTTAGAGGGGATCTCTGGAATAGGCTGTGGTTCCAAAAAATGCTGAAAAGTTTTGCATGACTTTCAATTTTAATATTAGCAAGGAATTCTTCCCTGCGAGGGTGCTGAGGCACTGGCACAGGTTGCCCAGAGAAGCTGTGGCTGCCCCATCCCTGGCAGTGTTCAAGGCCAGGTTGAATGGGACTTGGAGCAGCCTGGTCTAGTGGAAGGTGTTCCTGCCTATGCCAGGGAGGTTGGACCTGGATGAGCTTTCAGGGTCCCTTCCAACCCACACCAGTCTATGACTCTATTACTTTTTGTTTTACCTCTGGTTCCATTATAATACTTCCATGAAGCATTGAAGCCAGGGTGAAACGCTACTGAGATATACATTACTCTGGGAAGCACTGTTGGTCAGCCCAGTTAGGCATAAAGTTAAGGGCCCAATACTTGCTTGAAGATTGCTTGCTTCAGCCCTTGGTCTGATGGGAAGAGTATTACCAAGGAGCTTGAATACGTGATCTTTAATTTAAAGATCCAAAGGACACTATGTTCTGCAACATCAAGTGAGAAAGCTTGTCCTGTAGTGACAGTGGATTATGTTTTAGTCTTGCATGTTTTGTCCTTAAAAAGAGAAGTTAACTGTATTATCCTGCGCTTAGGAGACTTGAGTATGAACTGGGGCTTCACTGTGCAGGGTGCAAATGTAGTGTTTGCAAACATAAAATAGAGGCAGCATTTCACAAGTTAAATAAGAGATTTCAGAAGATCTAATGCAAGCATTGGAGATCTTGGAAGAATGCTGTGGTATTTGGAGGGTGGGATAAGGAACGGGAAGAAGAGAGTAAATACGTTTTATTTTGAATCTTTCTTTTCCTATTCTTGAAATTAACTTTTTCTTGTTCTAAGCCACACCCAAGTAATACTTCAGAGCTGAGGCTAGAGAGTAGGGTAATGTTAAGAGGAAAGTAAGTCAGTCAGTGGGTGTGGGTTGGCAGAAGACGCGGCAAGTGCTTCTAGAATAATTTGGAATGTTTTATTCCAGCCAGTTACCCCATGGCTTCAAGTATGTGGCATTTCACTTAGTTACAGTGTTAAGATGACAAAGCTGTGCCGATTTTTGATGCAAGGTTTATAGCACTTGGGATGCTGTCTGCCAGCCAGAATGTCTTAATAGCTATGAAGTGTTTTTACTGTTTTCAGTCAGGTGCTGGTCAGGGTTTTAAAGTCTGAAATATCTGTGTCTCTCTATATAGCTATATTTTTAAAATGAATGTTAATTCACCAGGCTGTACAACTGAAAAAATTAATTTATAATACATAAATCGGTGTTGTTATTTTGGAAGTTAACTTAAAACTATGGTTATGGCTTCAAGTTAATTAGGTGATCCATGGCCCTTTTTATAGAGTAAGAGTATTTGCCTTAATAGTATCGTGTCAGATTGCGTTGGTTATTTTGTTACCTCAGCTGAACATAACATTTATCTCATGTATTACTATAAGCAGTGAGTAGAGATAGCAGGAGCTAATGTTTTGATTGAGGCTTATTTTGTTAAATCCCCTGAAATGAAAGATAGAGTTTACAATGACCGCTTAAGCATGGGAAACTCCTGGGATCTTTTTTTGGTGAAAGAAACTCAGTCAAATTGCTGTTCTTTCTCTCTCTTAAAAATTAGAAGACTTGGGTGTCTGCATCAGATAAAGTGAAACAGTTTTACATTGCAATCTGTTATTGGGCATCTGTAAAAGTTTCTTATTGTATTTGTCCATTCACTGTGTGGCAGACTAAGGCATTGCTTTATAAAATAAATGTCATTTCCCTTTCTATGTGTTTGGCCAGAGTTTTCAAAACTGAATGTTATCAAGTTTTTAACAGATCTGGAGTCTCCATGTCTACCTGCCCTGTGCAGGTAGTTTCCTCTCTCCCAAGGTGGAGCATGTTGTGTATCAGTCCTCAGAGCTGAAGGTGTTGACCAATTTCGTCTAAACTTATATGTAGAAAGTAACCAAACAAAGCATGTTCCCTTTAAAGTTACCCTTCCAAGCACAGATGTAAACTCCCTTTTTTTCCACAATAGGGAAAGCTGGTTTATAAAGACAGTATATGGGAAGGGAAGGAAGGAAAGCATGTTAATGTTTTATGGTTTCACAAGGGTAGTGTTTAGCCTCCTAATGTTGCTTTTTTTAAGTTTTCAAAACAAGGACAAATATTCTTCATACTGATGTTGGTATTGGTCCTAAAGTTACTTAATATGTTGTGGCTCTAAGTAAGTAGTCTTAACTTCTCAGTGTACTTTTCAAACAAATATCAAGGGAAACATACCCTTAGAAATAAGAGGTTTGCACACGCCAGGTAGTTGTGTGTAGAGAACAGAAGACTATTTTTAGCTTCCTAATATGCTAGCAGGTTAATAAGCGTAGCAATGTGTATGTAACTGTTGTTTGGGAACTATTGCGATCACACAAAGTTTATTTATTTGAATTGACAGTGGGTACTGTGGTAACCTTGAAATGAGGAAGCAAAAGAAATTAAAAGTGTCAAAACAATGCCAGTTTGGCTTCTGGGGCAGAAGCCAGACCAGATAACGGGAGAAGACAAGGCTTCTATAACAATAATAATAATAATAAATCATCATCCAACTCCAAAGTTCATTTTCAAAAGCAGTAATAAATGTGTTAATGGAGTTAGCCAAAGCTTACATATATTTAGTCTGGGGTTCTCTGATGAAACATGTCAAAATACATCTTCTCTCCTACTTGAACTGTACAGAGAAAAGTGTGCTTCAACTAAAAGCTATGGGTCACCAAGAAAAGTTAGGGACAGCACTTTCAATGGCATCATGTTGTTAAGGATTAGCTGGTTAGTGTGAATTAGTTTGATAGTTTCCATCATCATTTATCTATATTTAGAAATTGCTAATGGGTTTCTGTGCATTATTTAAATCTACAGGGCTAGTCTGATTTCCTTGTTTTTTCCTTCCCCAGAGTTGGTTCCTTCAATCATGAGTAACATGCTGAATCCAGATGCTATCTTTTCAAACAATGAAATGAGCCTGTCAGACATTGAAATTTATGGATTTGATTACGACTACACGTTGGTCTTTTATTCTAAACATCTGCACACGTTGATCTTCAATGCTGCTCGAGATCTTCTTATTAATGAGCATCGGGTAAGAAAAGTCAGTGGAATAACAATAAACTGCTCAATAAAGAGTATAGAAATAATTTCTAGCAGAGAGGGACATAACTTTTCATGCCTTAGTCCTAGCTTGGCTCCCTTATAGCACATTTTGTACAACAGCTACATATGAACCACACAAGTCCTGGTTTATTCTCAGCTGCAGTTTTGAGCAGAGTGTAATCTGTCAGCTGTTAAGGAATAGAGTTTTATTTGTTTTAATTTTAAATTTGGTGGTGGGTTTGTTTTTGGTGTTTTTTTTTCTGATTGTCATTAATTCAGTCACCCTAATAAATAAGAAGCTTGCAAATTACCACTGCTCTGTTTTATGCATTGCTGTGGTTGCGGTGATTAATTTCCATATGGAATACTTTTAGCCTGACTTCTTAGGAGGTCTTTGATTGCACTGTGTGCTTTTGAGGTGCTCCCTTTATGTCCCTGGCATTTCAGCTGAATTAGCTGAAGGGCCAGCGTATGCATAATGCTGTAATCAGGCTGAATACAAGAAAGACGCAAGTAAGTGTTCAGGCTGTAGTCCTCTAAGAGGGAGCACTGCCCTGTCACCTCAGCAAGCAGTGTGTTGCATTGGTGACTTGTTGACATCCAAGCAGCTTGGAGCTGGTTGTTGGGTAGTCTGGGGATGGGAGAAGTTACTGTGTGTCATGAAGGTGGGGAGGAGATGGGTGACTTGGAAGCTGAAGGTATTGCAGGGAAAAAGACGGAAGAAAATGTGAATGGAAAGAGGTAAAGGTTATTGGACTGTAGGATTCGCAGGAAAATTCTCCTGCAAAAGTATTCCACAGAGTAATTTAACTAATAAACTGCTTGTGTATTTCATATAACCTAAATCTGAATGGGTGGTGTTATACTACTTTTGGATTTGAATCTAAAGGTTAGGAGCTATATATAAACATCTATAAATATCCCTGGAAGAGCAAACAAAACTCCATGGGTGCTACAAGCATACACAACTTGATCCCTCTGAGATCTTGGCATGTCTCAGCAGCAATTGCTGTGGGATGTGTAAATAGATTTTATTAAAGCTGTGTGTTCTTGCAAAAAAACGTTACTGTAGGAGTCAAGATTAATTCTTGTAGACAGAATTTCAAACTGTGCTCTGTCTTTACTATTTGAATGCATTCACGTAGTAATAACTTTCCAGTTTGTCTCAAATAAATTCTCTTGAGTTATAGGAAATGAAACTGTAATTACTTTTTGAGACAGCTTACTGGAAATATATCATGTCTTGTTGGACTTTATTGAGGGGCAACAGTTTTTGTTAGTGCTGTCTGTAGCTTCTTACACTGTTAATGTTTTCCTTGCCTTTAACATTAGAAAAACTTCTAGATAGTATTGCCGACTATGACTGCCACAGTCAGCCTGAAAGATGGCCAGTTTTGATCATGGCAGTATGAGGTAATTCATCAGAAACTGCAAAATGCAGTGTAGGAAGCAAGGAATTTTGCAGTGTGTCCAAGAGACTAAACATCAATTTAATGCTAATCTCAGAAGTGGCAGCAGGTGTTGAATGAAAACTTTTGCTCTTGGGCTTATTTCTTTCCTAATGTATAGGCCTTGTGTCACCTTATCTGGACTGCTATTTTAGTCCAGATACAAATATTCCTATCAAGAGTAAGGCAAGCAAACAGTGCAATATTTTTAATCTTTTTTTTTTTTTTGTTTGGTTTATAAGGAAGCTTTGATTTGTGTGCCAAGGTAGGCTCAATCTTTTTCTCATGTGTGCTGACATGCGTGCCAGAAGACAGCCCTCTAGTAAAGTAGGAAAGTCAAGTACGCAGAAATTTGAAAGAGTCAGAACTAGATTTACGTCTTTGTGATTGATCACATTCTGTATCCTCCTCTGATGTTTTCCCTTGTCTCTTCTGCGTCACGTTCCCTGTCCAAGTTTACAAATCTTACCAACCTGTCTATAAGCTTTTGATGCTGTTCTTCATTCAATCACTAGCCTTCCCTATGTTTTCTGGAAGTTGTAGTAGGGATGATAGTTCAGAAGTTAGGAGTATTTTCTTTAAGTCTAGATGCTTGTGTTTGGTATGAGCACAGTCTACAGCAGTTGCAGAGCAGCTCCTCTTCAGCACGGATAAAAACTTTGTGGAGAAAATGAGATTTATTAGGTTTTTTTTATAAAAGTAGCTAGAGCCTCTGTTGAAGCTGTATGATCTACTTTTTTCACCAAAGGCTTGTTAATTAGCCCTGTATGTATGGAGACAGTTGTAGAGAAGGTGGAGAATGTGCCTGAGATTCATTTGTCAAGTTCTAAGATGGCGGTGCCTATGGGAGGGAAATCAAGAATTGCCTTTCACTTGGTTAATCAAAGAAATGATAGTTTTCTCAAGCCTTGTCAGAAATGACTGAAGCATTTTACCTTTTAAAAACAAATGAGCAAACCCCTTAGCCCAAGGCACACACCTAACATATTTTTTTCATGACTAACCTGTGCTTAAAGCAGGACAAAATTACAATGGGCTTGTACTGAAGAATGTTAGAAAACTCTCTAATAGGTGGTATGAGCTTCCTATGCAGTCATTCAATTCACATGCATCTCTAAGCAATCTTACAAGTGCTGTTCAGGGTAAATATAGTTGGGTCACTGTGGTGGTCTCCTGATGTGACTCACCCTGATGGTGTTTGATGCCTGACTTGCTTTCAGGATCTGATCTTTGTGACACACTATACCTTGGGAAGGTCCCTGTGGGGAAGCATGGCTTCTCCAGGTGACATCAGCTGTTGTGAATTCTCTTCTTCCTTCCTCTCCATCTGTGTTTATTTGTGGTGTGTTGTATCTTTATAAACACCTCTGGGGGCTAAATTTCAAACCGACAATCTAAGACGAGGAGTATGATCTGCAGTGAGGGAGTCAGAACAGATCGTTGTGCTGCTTTTATTTCTTGACAATGACAAAAATGGTGGTTTTTTTCTTTCCTCTTGTTAATATTGATGATGTATTGCTTTTTCTTTCAATAGAAGTGACTGGCAAAGTTCAGGTATCTCTGTAAATTATGGCATGTTTTTGGGTTTCTAGCTAGAAGGTTGGGTTGGAAACTGTGTTCATATAGTCTGTTTCTTGGGGAGACTTCACAATGCAAGATAATTCTTCATTAGATTTTAGGAATTTAAGAAAATGAAGTTTGCATTCAAAGGTGTATATATTAAAATAACCTTTTGAACAAAAGGCTAATGCTCAAAAGTGATCTCTACAGAGTAGGTGGATATCCAACTTTAGGTACTGTGCTTGACTTAGATTTAAAACAACTACATTTTGAAAAAAAGTGTTTGACTTGTCTCACACTGAACATAGATTCCTCCAAATCTCACCAACCTATCAAAAAGCCCCTTAATGACTAGTGAAAATGAGAGACATAGAAAATGTAGGCTTTAAAAATCTGTAGAAAAAGATTTTTAGTTGTTGGTGTCATGGATTTAAAATCAAATCATTGCTCTCTTTTCTTAGTACCCTGCAGAAATAAGAAAATATGATTATGATCCCAATTTTGCAATCAGAGGACTTCATTATGATGTTCACCGGGTATGTATAAATAATTTTGTGACAAGTTATCTAGCACTGAGAACCTAACCAAAGAAAATAAATAGGGCTTTTAAGACTTCTAACTTTCCACTCTGCACTGACATGGAAGGATTTTGTTTCATATTTTTCTCTTAAGTAGAAAAAGTTTTGGGTGCTCTTTTTGGTGGCAGAAGACAACTTTGAGTGCAACACAATAAACCTAAGCAGGCATCTGTTAGTAGGAAAGGTATTTCTTCATGACTTAGCTCAGGTCACTGGACAGTGTTTCCTTGATGATTTTGCAAGCCCTGGGTAAAAGCTATTGATGAAAGTATTTTGGAAGCTATAAAGGAAGCTGAAACAAATGCGCTCGGGCATTACTGAGACAGGTTATAGATAAAATTGCTTTGATTTTTGTAATTTCACGGCGAACAGTTGATGTGATTAAAAACTGATTTTTGTTTTTCTTCCCTGCAAGGCGTTATTAATGAAGATTGATGCTTTTCATTATATTCAGCTGGGAACAGTTTATAGGTGAGTAAAATTACTTCCTATTTATAATAAAGATGTATCTGTTTATTTTTATGAATCCCTTAGTTGCATTTATTAATGTACATCTTAGATTCGCATTGGGAACAGTGCCCTGACAAGCACAGACATGAATTAACAGCATTAATAGTAAGGGGGTTTCTTTGCACCTTGGGCTACACACAGATATATGCACAAGGTTACTGACTGATACAGTACAGCTGACGCCCCAGTTCAAAGCTGGGGAAATTGGCAAGCTTGTTGGTCACATAGTGCTGACTCACTTTGTTTCCGGCTGTTAAACTGTGCTGAAAGACATCTAAAAATACACTGATGACTTCTCTGCTGTTGCTTTCTATGTAAATAATGGTCGCAGACTGGCTGTTAGCATGACTTCGGTGTGGTTGTATTGATATTTGAGAGGTCTTTTCTGTGTTTGCACAGAGCTTTCAAGTTTAGACACATCAACCACATCATACTTGCAGAATTGAGCACAACTGCTTTGTGTTCACACAGCCTGATATTTTTGAGTTTACTGAACTGAATTTAAATAGGAAATCTCTGTGCTGTGCTTTATTACATAATACAGGCATACTGTATGTGATGTTTGACAGGAGAGTTTTTAGTATGGCTCAGTTTTCTGTAATGAAGCAGTACACGTTTGACTCATGTGAATGCTACACTTGGTACCAGATTTTCAAATAAAGAAGAAGCCTAAGCATCTTTCTTGATATCATTGCACAAAAAGTTTTCCTCTAGGGCCAGAAGATAATGCGGCCTCACAGTGATTTACTATGGGGACTGTATATGGTAATATGAAATGATGATAACATGCTCATTACCTCTTTTCATCTGCTAGTGAGGCAGGTAGGTAGATGATTCAGCCATAGTCATTGATCTGTTCCTCATGTGTTAGTCTGAGATGTGCTTTGGGAGAGAGGAGAGGAAGGTAAGGAAAATGAAAGAGGGGAAAAAAGATGGCATGGTCCAGCATTAGGCTCATATTGTCAACATAGTAGCTAGCTAAGGCTGCCAAAAGAATGTGTTCTGTATGTATCATCAGAGTCTGAGTGAAACTTTATACCATTTATATATGCTGGTGTAGAGTAATTACTGTATGTTTCAACTGACAGAACCTGTTCCTGTGGTTTTCAGATGAATGATTTATGCAGGCCTAGGAGGGAACCAGAGAATTCAGTGTGAAGGTCACTGATTGTAAGATTCATTTAAAAAGGCTTTCACATTATTACATTTTTCACTGTGAACAATGCTAGTTTGCTAGCTTAAAGGCTAGGTGAAGTAATCAGAGCTACATTTATCTGTAGAGGTATGTAGCAGAAATATCAAGATTATAATGAATGGAAACGTGTACGTATGTATGTTTGGTGGAGGGGCTGCCAGGGCACTTGCCACCTTTCTTATTCTCTCTCCTTGTGGGGGAATTAAATTTGGGAAGTGGTAGAATCACCATCCCTGGAAGTGTTCAAAAACCATGTAGATGAGACCCTTAGTGACATGGTTTAGTGGTGTCTTGGCAGTCATCATTAAATGTGGGGTGACTGCCCAGGGGTAATGGTTGGTCTTGATGATATTAAAGGTCTTTTCCAGCCTAGTTGATTCTATGAGAGTAATAGAAGAACTGTTGATAGAAGGGACAAAAGGATTGCATGTGTTGACGGTGCCTGGATGTATTGGTCATCAACTTATCATGACGTTTACATGCTGCTTCTCCAACCACCTGTATGGAGGTGGGGGGAGCAAAAAAAGGGCTGAAGGCTTTGAGAGATGTTGCTGGGAAGGATATTGGTATGACTGGAACTGTATACAGTGACTTAGAGGGGAAGACGAACGGATGGTGAGTTCATCAGCAGTCTTGCCTTATGACTCAGAGTGGGACACAGTGAAGTAATAGATGACCACAGTTGTCAACTCGTAGTACAAAATTCACATTCAAAGCCAGAACATGATGACCAGTCAAGAAAGGTGTTGAGATTTGTTGAAGAGCTGGCATCCCTTGTTGTCTGTATCACCCAAAGTAATTCTGGATGGACTGCTAAGTCACACGTACTGGTACCTGTGTGTGTGTGTAGGGGCAAGAATGAAAGCTCCAGCTCACTTAGTGCTTGCTTTTGTTTAAAATAATCTTACCTTTCTCTTCTATGCCAACATGGAGCTTTGCTGTCAGTTGCTGTATATCTGTAGTTCTTAGTTTTAACTGTGTGTTCTGTAAGTGCTTAGGTCACTTGTATAGCAGAAGGTAGTAGGACTTGCCCAAGCATACAGCTTCATTTGCACTGAGCGGTGTAAGCGATTCTGGTATCCCACTGACAATGCACATCTCCAAGAGCAGTAGTGGGAGTGCTGCTGTAGGTGAGCAGCTTCTAGTACATCTGTTGATGCTGTCAGTTGAACTTTGTAGATGTACAGATGAAGTGTACTGACTGTGAACAGGCTGTGATTGTGAACAATTCTTCAAGTAATCTTAAATTCTGAGAAACTGAACTGTTGATAAACTTCAGAAGAAAGTCTTATTTTGTTAAAGGTTGTGTATGCTTTTCTTTCCCTTGAGTCTTCAAGGTCACGCTGCAGAGTAATCTGGTTTAAACATTATCAGTGCTGTATGAAACAAAGGTGGAGTGAGGAATGACTGTGTTAAGAAGCTGGAAGCTTTAGCTAGTACTTACAAACCCTTAAGGCATAATTTCAGTGGAGACTAATTAGCTCTTTTCCTGTAAGAAAATAAAAAGGACTTAAAATTGGAATGCATTCTATGTGCATCAGCCTCTTAAAAAGTTACTTGCTCTGTAAGGAAAGATGTTGTTTTAACATACACACTAAAGTGTTCCTATGACATTATTAGTATTTTAATAAGCTCCAGATCTGTTAAACTGTCAGACTTTCATTCGGTAATTACTTCAAGGTTTTAATCTGACTTTTAAACTAAACTAAGTGCTGTTTTCCAGAGGCCTCAGTGTCGTCCCAGATGAAGAAGTCATTGCAATGTATGATGGTTCCCATGTCCCTTTAGAGCAAATGAGTGACTTTTATGGAAAGGTAAAACCACAAACTGCTCTTTAAAAATTATTTTATTTTGGGAGGGGAGGGATAGTGGTGATTGCCTTTTGTTTTTGTTCTTACTACCAGTTATATTTTCTCAATACATGATTGACTTATAGTGCTAGATGCGAAGTTTGCCCTCTAAAATGACAAACGCATTTGCTTTCTCCTGCTTGCTGTAGTTTCTTCTTTCACTGTTCCCTTGCCCAGTGATACATACAGTGAAGTGGAACATGACAAAATCAAATGACTTGTGCTGCAAATCTGATAAAGGCTGGGAAATGAACCATATCTGGTACCTTACCTTGGTTATGTACTTCTTCCCAGTGGTCTAATGACTTAGTTGATGTAGCAGCAAGTAAATGTGTGGAGGCATCCCTTGCATACAAGCTGGCAGAGTTGACCTTAAGAGGATTTCACTAAAGATGAATGATAAAAGATAAAGCTTTTAAGTTTTAGGATTTGGCTCTGTGGAGAAAGTTGAACATTTTGCTGGAAGGTTCCTTTCTCTTTCTCAAATGAAGAATGGTGCTGTCTTTTCAGTAAAAAACAAGTTTATTTTATGCCTTTTACTTATGGATGTTAATTCCATGCTGATGCAAAGGCTCTTTGTGCCATGGAGCATTTTGTTCTCGCGCTTGTTCTTATTTTAAGGAACTGAACTTAGAATTCCCAAATCTGGTCTCTGCAGCAGTTCTGAATATTGCCTTGGCATTCCCTATGGAGTGCCTTGGTCTCTGCAGATCTATGCTTTCTTTGATAGTGACAGGACAAGAGGCCGTGGGCACAAACTGAAACACAGGAGGTTTCCTCTGAACATCAGGAGACACTTCCTTTACTGTGAGAGTGACTGAGTGCTGGCATAGGTTGCCCAGGAAAGTTGTGGAGTCTCCATCCTTGGACAATCAGAAGCCATCTGGATGAGGTCCTGAGCAATTGGCTCTAGGTGCTCCTGTTTGAGAAGGGAGGTTGAACAAGATGGCCTCCAGAGGTCTCTTAATGTTTCTGTTGTCTTGACCAGTGTGCTGTCTTGGGCAGGTTGCTTTACCTCTCCTCTTCTTGAGAAGTATTTGGTTGTATTTGCTCTCCTATGATATTCTCTGCTTGTGTGAAACAACTATACTTACAGCTTTTGCAGACTAGAAATGTTTTCTTTGGTTGCCTCATTATTGTAGATTCTTACAAGTTTTTATCACCTCTTTTCAAGGATGTAAATTGTTTTGTAGTCCTAATCAGTATTTCCCTCATTAAAAAGAAAAAAGAAGATAACAAAACCTCCACTCCATCACAGTACCCAGTGCGTCTTACTTTTAGAAATGCAGACTTGCAGTGAAGGTCTCAAAGTCCTTCTGTTGACTTTTAGCTAAGCATTGTCTTTTATATGTTTATGAATTAAAATACTGCTCTTAAGAGTAATGTGTCATGATTAATGCTTAAAATAAAGCCAACACTTTTGCTGCAGTTATTTATATAAAAAAATCTGTTAGTTGAAAAAGCATCTAAAGCAATGAGAACAGTTACGCAAAAGCTGAGTATCTACAACTAAGCTCAAGTGGTTCTACTGACTGAATGGGAGTGTTCTAATCTGAGAAACACCTGTGTTTTCCTCTGTTTTCTTCCCACCCCTATAGAGCTCACAAGGAAATACAATGAAGCAATTCATGGATATATTTTCCCTGCCAGAAATGACACTCCTTTCTTGTGTGAATGAATACTTTCTGAAAAACAACATAGATTACGAGCCCGTTCATCTGTACAAAGATGTCAAGGTACTAGCTTTGAAGATTTAGGTAAACCTCTGCGTTTGTACATCTTCTCCCTGAGCTCTTCAGGAAGCTTCAAAGTGTTGTGTCTGCTCCAGTGAAATACCTCAACTTTATGTGTTGTATAGAGTAATTATTGCTATACAACCATGAAAACATAAGTGAAATGAAGGTAGACCTTGGAAAAGAAACAGAATAATTTGAAATCTGTTTTAAATCCAATGTTGCTCTTTTTATAGGTTTGAGGGGTGGATGGGGTAAAGTGAAGAAACTTTTGTATGTCAATAAAGCTTCTTTTGATAGTTATTAAATGCATACTTTTCTCACTAGGAGGAATTGTCAGAGGCTGTAGGGAATTCCAGTTCAGAGCGTTCAGTTGTACTGCTTCTGTATCTTCACTAGTATACGATCATTTGCTGTCTCTTGCTTTTGGCGTATCTATTTTGTGTGTTTCCCTCCTCCAAAAAAAAAATGTAGTAAGAGTGACTAGAGTAATTTGACCCTCTTGATTTCTCAGGATATATCCCGCAGAGGAGATAATTTTGTGTCGTAGCTGTTTAAGAGCAGGAGGTTATGCCCAAATTGATGGTATTTGCCTGCACAGGGTTTCCATACAGGAAACTTTTGACCTCCAGAGTAATTTTCCCTTCTGGCTATGGTTACAGAGTCAGAAGGCTAGTTCTTGTGGTTTCTGCTGAACTGTTGGTAGAAACTTCTGTACTGCTCAGCATTACCACATTTTGTAAGCCCTATAGTGGCATTTTTTTGAGGATTTTTAGATCATGCCCCATAAGTACCAAAATGGCAGTATCACTGTCCTAAACAAAGCTGGTATGGAGCTGGTTCACGAGAGCTGCCAAATGCCTTCAGAGTGCTGTATGAGTACTTTGCTTAAGCATTTAGCTTCTTTCATCTGTTCATAAATTTATTTTTCAAATAACCAGGGCGTTTGTGGGTGATCATAATCTAAAATCTGACCTAAAGCTTTTGGGTTTTTTGCAAGAGGAAAGGAATGTGTTCTGCTCCAAAGGTCATTGGAAATCTGTGATGACTGCTTTTGCAGAGGGCTTTCACCCCACTTCACCCCTATGAGCACCCTTTCATAGTTGTTGTGTAAACCAGCCCCTGTACTATACAGTTTCATACTTTCCAAAATTATGAGGTTAGTTTTTTGGAGGACAGGCTTACTCTTTGTCTGGTGGTGGCGTATATATCATGAAAATCACATGGCATTTCTGTGAAGTTGAAAATGTAATTCAGAGAAATCAATTGTTTTACAAACAAGTTACTACTGCTATGCAGTGAGCACTGGTTCTTATACTTGAAAAGATTTTTCAGTTCTGTGGTGCTCTGTTGCTTTTTCTGACAGGATTCAATCAGGGATGTCCACATCAAAGGAATAATGTACAGAGCAATTGAAGCAGATATTGGTAAGTACTAGTGAGATCAGCTATCAAGCCTTTTTTCACTGGTAGTAAAATCGTATTTCTGGCTTCCTTATTTAGGATTACAAGTTCTAAATTTTAAAACTTGAAAGAGTTATTTGACTTGTTTAAACTGCCTTTGTTAAGTGTAACCTCATCATTCTGAAACTTTGGTTGAATACAGAGAAAAATCTTTTGGAAAAACTTTTTCAATTAATACTGTATTTTCCTCAATCCTCACAGAGAAATACATCTGCTATGCCGAACAAACTCGTGCAGTGTTAGCAAAGCTGGCTGATCATGGCAAGAAGATGTTTCTCATCACAAACAGTCCCAGCAGCTTTGTGTAAGTGAACAGTTGTTTGCTGTATACATTTCTAAGGGCTGGGGAGGATGAGGTTCTTGATTGTAACTCACTATATTGCACAGATAATTGCACTTCCGTCATGCTTCACTGTTAATATCCCTTTGTGCTTTTTAGGGACAAAGGCATGAAATTCATAGTTGGCAAGGATTGGAGGGATCTCTTTGATGTGGTCATTGTACAAGCTGAGAAGCCGAACTTTTTCAATGATAAACGAAGGTTGGTATTTAGTCAGTAAAAATTATTCAAATAGTTTATTCTATATAAGGCTATGGAGCATGTTACAAAATATTTCAATTTGGATACAATGTAAAATCAAATCATATTTGATGAAGTCCTGTTTAAGGTCATTACAGAATGCAGCAACACCCAATTCTGAAGTCCAAATATTTGCCTGAGAAAGTTCCAGCAGCTATTACAGGCCTTCTGGACTGAGTTAGGGTCACAGAAGCAGTTTCTGGCATCTTAGCTTGTAAGTTGGTGAAGCATGTTCCTTTCTTAATAAACCTGAGAATTTTTGGTGCCTTTCAGAATTGACCCTTATCTGGAAACGTCTTTCATTGCTTCCGGGTTTTTTTTTAGTCACACATAATATTTAAAGGGCAGACTAGCTGACAGACTGGAGTATTTGGACTAGTTGCTTAACTAGGTAAACACATTTGTAATGCGTATACACTACTCTTACACTTGAAAAAGACCCATTCCTGTATGTGTACTTGTGATTTGAAAGCAAGACAGAGGGAGGTGGAATTTTCTGCCCCCCCCCCTTATTTTTCTTACTTTTTTTTTTTTTTTCCCTTGGTTGTTTGTTTTCTTTTTCCTTTCATTTGATTTTAAAAAGAAAAGAACTTTGCTGTACATCTTGCCTCCGGTCCTCTGCCCCCTTCTTTAGTTTTTCGGTTGTACAGAATGAGGCATTGGGCAAAATTTTTACACATCTTCACTTTTTTGGTGTTCTCTCCTTAATGGCAGATATTTCACGCTGTTTATCCTCATCTGTCTGGGATACCTGCCTTACTTTTCAACAGCTGTTCTCAAACTCCATTATAAAAGTCGTAGGTAGACTTGGATAGATACACTGCATTTCACTGGGTAAAGTGGAAGTGCTGAAGCTTTGCTTTTTCTCTCTATTACAAAATGGTCAGATGCTAAAGAGCATGTTTTCCCTTTGAAACATCAATAATTTGTATTTAAAAATTTTAATCCCCTTTAAAAAGTGGCAGAATTTCTACAATGTAACGATTGCATATAATTCTATTCTAGACCGTTTCGAAAGGTGAATGAAAGGGGAGTATTGCTCTGGGACAGAATTCACAAGCTGCAGAAAGGTCAGATTTACAAACAGGTATGCTTTCAGTGAACTGTTTTCAATTCAAATTTAATGCCTGTTTTCTAGAATCCCAAGCTTCTTTAGCTAAAAATGCTTCTAAAAAGTAGATACGCTTTTTAACAGTGTTATTTTAATAATTGAAGTGGGACGAATTTATCATTGGTATTGTATATCTGCAGTTGCCTTGCCTCTTGAAGTATTACTGAAACTGCTTGTAAAATTTGGAATTCATAATAGAGTGAGGATAAGATTCTCGATATGACAATATTTTTAGGGGTGTACTAAATTCTTTTTTTAGCCTGTGAAGGTGCAAGTGGCATGCTGCTGCAATGTTTGTGTCATTGTTTCTGCAGGGTAACTTGTATGAATTTCTGAAGCTTACTGGCTGGAGGGGCTCTAAAGTTCTCTACTTTGGTGATCACATTTACAGTGACTTGGCAGTAAGTAGTTTAATTTCACAAAATAGGATAAAAGGCAAGTTGTTTTGTTAGTTTCCCCCTCTTCCTCCCAGTTATTCAATATAATACGCTTTAATTTGAGATTTCTAAATACACCATCATTTGTGTTGGTAGTTAAGCCATATTGCTTTTCTTGCAGTGAAGAAAATTGGTGCTGACCATATTTTCCACCTGACTTGTAGCATTTAACTTATTTCCAAACTGTGCTTAGGAATGTGTGAGTTTGTCTTGCTGATCCAGATACTGATTGTGTCAGATATAACGGAGAGTATATACAGATATCCAAACGTACAGGATATGGCTGATTTGGTTGACATTTACTACCAAGTGTAATATGAGCTGAATAAACTTCTGTTTTCAATGCAGGAGGCAATCTTCCTGTCACTAATCATAAGCTTTCTTCCTGGGATCTTGTTCTGGTTTGTAGCCCCACTATGCAGGCATTTTCTTATTAGCTAATGAGCAAGTATATTGTTAACTGTTACTTTAGAATAAGCAACCACCACTTAACTCTTTTGCAATTGGTGGTATATTAATGCCTGGATGTGACTTAGCACTGCCAAGCTGCAGTAACAAGTTTCAACAGCAGCAGATGTTAACATTTTTGTTCCAATCTGCTTTTAAAAAGAGTAGTTTTAGGTGCTTCAGAAGGCTGTGAGCCAAACGAAGGAGGGTGCAGCTCTGTCCTTCTCTGGTACAATGGAGGAAAGAGCACAGGTGGCAGCTGCCTTGTCCTGTATTTGTCAGGTGGAACTTGAATACATGATAGGTCCTGATAGGACTGTTCTGTCAGACGAGTATTTGTATAAATACCACAAAGCCAACACATGATTTCCTCCAGATGGTTCTGACAGCAGTAGAGGTTTCATCTACAAGAAAGAGGAATTTCCTACTGTTTATTCTAAACCTAATGAATTCGTGTTTGTTCACAGGTGCTCATATGTTTTCTGCCTCTCTCTTTAAAACTGTGGCTTTTGAAGCTTATGCTGAAATTAAGTTCTGTTTTTTATTGGCACAGTTAAGTTCCACTGTTTAATATTTCTGCTTGTAGATAAGAAGCAATTAAACTAGTGCCCCTTTGGGATAAACAATGGTCAAATTATTTTTCTTTTTTTTTAAATTTCTATTATTTATTTCTTTTTAAGACTAATACTTGTATTTTGTAATTGTTGGTAAATAGGATTTGACCCTGAAGCATGGCTGGCGCACTGGTGCGATTATTCCAGAGTTACGATCAGAGATTAAGATCATGAACACAGAGAAGTACATTCAAACCATGACCTGGCTTCAAACCTTGACAGGATTATTGGAACACATGCAGGTTTGTTCTCTGTGTGTATAATCGGCTCTGTGTAGCAGAAGGGATACAGCCAAGTTTCTAAATGCTAGACATTGACGTTGCAAATGCTTTCTGTCTCATTAAAGTTCACCAGTTTGACTGTAGATAAATAAATGCAATTATTTGTGTGGCTAGTTTAGTAAGAATTTTGTCAAAATCTTGTCTCCTTCCTACACTGGTCAGCCTCGATTTATTCCTGCTTTCATTGTTTAAAATGCATGTGGATAACTTCTGTATACTGATCTCTGAAGCATTGCTCTTATTCTGTTAGCTGATAATGGTTTAGTAATGGAAAGCCTCATTTATGAGGGCATCCTTAGTTACTTGTTACCCATACTTTACATTCCAGGTTCATCGTGATCCTGACTCACAAATGATTTTAGAAGAATGGAAGAAGGAAAGAAAGGAACTGAGGTAAGATGCTACAGATGAAGAACTTGTAATATGCTTCATGGTAGCCAGGTGTTCTATGTGATGTTCTCCAAATGTCTCCTCATAATTTTTGTCCATCACTGATTTTGTATTATCTGGTAGTTATAGACCTAAAATAATCTGTGTAAAGCAGTATTCTGCCTGTCTCTTGTGCAGCTCTTCTCCCTTCTGACCCTTTGTGCATACAAACCACTTTTTCATGTTCCCCTTCTTTAGAACAGGCATTAGTTTTTTGAATGAAAGGGTAACATCATATCAAATACTTTTCTGACTCCTGTCCTGCGTTAATCTGCCCCTGTTGCTACTGATTACTCAGCTTTACTTCTGCATGATATAAATATGCATTTCTGTATCAAGACTTGTGTCACTTCGGTTTTTTTAGGTGATTTCTTCAGATTACATACAATACATATTAAAGTATGCAGAAACTGGGCTCTGCACTAGATTGGATATAGCAGTGGACTCATCACAAACATAGGTAATAGGGCTAAAACTCCTAAAAGTCTAAGGTAATAGGGCTAAAACTCCTAAAAGTCTACTGTTGTGAAGGAGTAATCACTAAATACAGAGTGTCTGAAGTGAATAGCTGGCAAAGCCAGCAGCCGTACTACCAGCAGCCTTCTCCAGAAATGTTGAAAGTAAATGAAATGGGAATTACACATGGCAGTGACTAATAACAGAAGTTTATTCCAAGATGTGCTTAAGCATTTTGTGTACATTAAGCCAAATCTTTGCAATTTTTTTTCTTTTTTTCAAGTCTTATCTTTGGGACAAATGGATGCCATTGGGATTTAGATGAAGGCAAAAGTTGTCTTTCATTATCTCTGGGATAGACAGCTCGAGACACCGTGTTTCTGAAGTCAGAGCCAACTTGTCACTGGTTTTAGTGGGCAAAGTGTGAAGCTCTTTTGTTCACTATTGTTATTGCTAGATCTAAGCTACATATATGCAAGAGGTGCAAAAATTACATTGCATTTGAATGTGTTGGAGTGCAATAGCAAGACAATAATGCAGAGAACAGATTATAGGAACTGCTTGCTTCAGGTTCTGGATAGTAGCTGGTAAGGAGATGTGTGCAGGTATCTTCATTCTTTTTGGGTGTTTGTTTTTTTTTGTGACAGGGAGATGAACAGGAATTTCTTCAATGCACAATTTGGAAGCTTATTCAGAACTGATGAGAATCCAACTTATTTCCTAAGACGTCTCTCTAGATTTGCAGATATCTACATGGCATCACTGAGTTGTCTCTTGAACTATGAGCCTGATTACACGTTTTATCCAAGAAGGACTCCATTGCAGCATGAACTTCCTGGCTGGTCAGACCAGCTGTACACTGGTACATTCAGAATACCTTTCCTACCAGAGACAGTTCAGATCAAATAAACGTTCAGCAGCTTCTCTTAAAATGGGCAAATACATACAATTTTTTTGAAAGTACATGTATTTTATTTAAGTCACTTAAATGTGTTATCTTGATCTAGAGGTAATTCATGCTTGTTCTCATAAGTGTAGTACCTGTTTTCTCCTCTTTTGCTTGGAGATCTATAAACTCATCTTACATACAGAAGAAATGATGGACTGCCAAAACTGTAGTGGGCTGGGAGGGAGGGCACATCTGAGGGGAAGGACTGGTGGTGATCCGGGGTGGTTGATTTTGTTTGTTCAGTGGAAATTTCGATCTGCAGCCTTGTGGTTTACAAACAAATACCTGTACTCTGTTCTGGCCCTGTTCAGCACTCCAGCTGCAGCCTGCAATGGACCTTGGCATTGAAAAGCTTAAATGCAGTATTAGTAATTCAGTGATACATAGTTAATAGCCAGTTTATGATGAGGGATGAGGTATGCATTTTAACTTCCCTTGCTGCCATAGCTAGAGCCTTACCTGTAACTGAACTAACTGCTGTGGTGTTGGTGTGGTTCTGCTGCATTGCAGTGGTTACAGTACTGGCAGCTCAGGCTGAGGGACTTTTTCTCCTGTCTGTGCAGTTTCTGTTCTTGTAATGGCTGTGCTTGGCTGTAGGTGGACCTCAGCCTAAAACTGAAAGTGACAGTAACTTGGGCTGTTTCAGCTTCCTTTTGCTAGCTTTTCTTCCCTTTTATTAAATTTTATTTTATTTTTTTAATTTGAAAAGACTTTAAATATTCACTCTCTAATACTGAAGCCATTTCAAGAGGTCTGGTGTTTTGCATTTCATAGTGGAGACAGATCTCTGTCAGGCTTAAGATTACACTTAAATGCTGCTTTTTAAAATCTTAAGTGTCTTACAGCAGTATGCAATGTGGTTTTGCTGTTCCCTAGGAGAGAATGTATTTCATATAGCCTTCATTAATGGACTTTTACAGTCAAAAGTAAGCACGCACAATGAGCAAATGAGTTAAAAGACAAAATAAGAAATGAGAGAATGAAACCCAGAGCTTTCTGATGCCCTTTTTTTTAGCTCAAACCCTGAAAGGTGAATTGGGGGTGGTGGACAGTTTGCATCAAGCAAAATAATTTTGATGGTGCAGTTTTTATTGAATTACTGAAATTGCAGGTAATGTGTGAGCACAAACTCTGGGTACAATATGTGTTCCAAAGATTTGAGCTGAAAAATGTCTATTTTGCACAAGGAAAACGTCTGTTGATGTGTTTCCTCAAACAGGCACTTTATGGAACTGCTACCTGGTTGTTTTTAAATGAGGATGCTTTCCTTTCTCTGCATCCAAAGGATTTTTTGTTCTTTTTCTTTAACTGGTGCTTCCCACCCCAGCCATTTTAGAAGGCAGAATATGATTAATATTTTTTCAAACTGTAGGTACTAAAGGCTCTGTTTTTAAAAACATATCCTTAAAATACATAGTATTTGGTATTCTTCATTTTGGGATATCATTTTCTTCCTACCGTGATTGTCAGGTAAACAAACTTTTGGTGACCAAAAGTTTTCTTGTTTGTTTTATTTTCTTTTTAACCTCTCTGTATCATGTGCAAGTACCTGTATGGAATTTCCTATGCAGTACCTCCCATATTTTTGAAAGCATATTTGCAAAGTAATGAATGTATTTTAATCTAGCCTGCACAACTTCTTAAGTAGTTTTCCTGTATTCTTGAAATCAGTCTGAAGTCCTCAGAGGTTGTTACAGATTTTATGTTCCTGGTTTTCTTGTGTTCCTGCTTCAGACTTGATGTGCAACACCCCTGAACTGTGTGTATTTGAACAGATGAATATATTCAAAATGAGTAAGTTCATCTGACGGTCCTGCTGTTCTGCTGGAAGAAAAAGATAAAGTTTTTCAGGAAGTTAGTTTGGCTTTATCAGGCCACTTGTTGGTGCGGCTGTGCAAGAAATATTTAGCATAACTTGATAATGAAATGTGGGGATGGAAACACCCCCGATTTGCCTTCAGTTCTTTATCCTGACGCTCAGCTAGAACTGAACTTGGTGTTACGTGTGTGTAGCACCTCTCAGGCTCCAGAGATTTCAATGCACTGTTAAAAAAAACCCCAGTCACAACCCCAAACCACTGTACGTTCTCCATCTTAGTATCAGCAAATAATAATCTTCTGTTAACTTGGTTCTGCATTACTGCATTTGATAATGTTTTGTTGGTTATAGCTCTGTGATTATTCTTTTAAAGCTGGCTAGGAGTCAGTTTGCCTGATTTTCTTGTGTTAAGCAGGAACAGTTTAATTGGGTTGGATGAGGTTATCCACATAACACATGGCAGGGGGGTTGGAACTAGATGTTCTTAAGGTCCTTTCCAAACCTAACTATTCTATGATTCTATGAGGTGATTTTCTCCTCTCCTTCTTCCTTTCTCTTAGCTTACAAATCAACCTTCTGTACAAAGCTATGTTACAGCAGCCAGCTGAAGTAAAATCTTGTTTATATTGCATGACTTCTTGAAATAAACAACACTGCATGAAAAGAAAAAAGATTGCTTTAAAGCAACCCAACTATAGATAATATGAATTTAAGTGAGAATTTTAAAGTGTATTATTTATTTTTCAGAACACTCTTTAACTTTTGAAAATGTCTTTCATTTTTGTAATGATTTCACTTTGTCACTTCCTGCATTACTTATTTTAATCTTGTTACGTTACTGACTTCAAAGAGGTTTTTGAACATGTTTGTCTTCGTTTTGGGGGAATAGTTCATTTGAACACCAAAGCAAGAAGAAGTTTTCATTCTAGTTTATCAAAACCATGGAGGAGAATAACCTGTCAGTAAAAGAAGAGTTTAATGAACTGTGGAACTTTTTTTTTTTTGTGATAAAAATATTTAATGATTATTACAAAAATAAATGCTTGGACTTTATTTTACCATCCTTACAAGCCTTGCCTTAATGTTTTGGGTGACTGGGGAGAAGGAAAGAACATGACAAAACTCTATGGGGAAAACTACCCTAAATATATATATATATATATGTATGTGTGTGTTTAAGTGCGTTTTGTGTTGTGAATTTTTTAATATCTTCAGGTAAAACCAAGCAGGCATATGTACGGTGGGCAAGGGAAGGACTTGGGAACATCACGTGAGTCTGTCTTTTTCATCCAGGCATATATACCCATTACATTCCCTTGGCTGTTCTGGATAGCTGTGTCAACACCCCTAGGTTTACCTGAAGACCTTGTTCTAATGGGGCTGCTTTCGGAGGTAACTTATGGTTCCCTGGAGTGACACCTTCCCTCCTGCCCCCCATGCACAGCAGACACCAGGTAGCATATCACAGGTGAATGCTACTGCTGCCAGCAAGGAAAACCTTCCTTTTCTTGCTGATCTGTGGCTTCTGTAGTGTTCTCACAATTTGCTATGATATTAATGTTTTGAGGGATTTGTCGTAATGTTTTACGACAGCACATCGAATGAGTTTGATTCACTTCTAATAGTACAGTGCAATTTGCAGCTATTACTGCTGTGCACAGGTTGAAAGGCAGTGTTAGTGTGCTTGGGAAAAATACAGTTATGTGAGCAAGCAGGTAGCTTCTGCTTCTCTGAGACATAACAAACTTCATGTGGGCACAACACGGCAGGGGTATGTTCATCTTCATTGTCCACTTTCCACGCAAATGGCTTAAGTATAAATTGATTACTACTTGAATGCTCTCACATCACCTGCATTTCTTGCTAAAGCTGCTGCGATTACTTTTTATTCCTTTTATAAAGTGAGGTGAGATGTAAACAAAACTCAGTTCAAGTCTGAGGAAGGACAGAAAAACTAGAGGAGGCAAGTGGGGCAGACAGTGTGGTTGCATTTCCTGCTGCTGCAAGTCTTACAAGAAAGTATACTGGCAAAAAATCCCCTCTGCTTAAAAATACAGGTTTCAGATGTGTTCTGTTTCACACTTGCCAGTTGTAACTGAGCCAAATGAAAGCATAGAGCAGGACAACTACCAAATCTAGGTTATTTGCCTATTTAACAGCTCTCTGTGTTTGAGACCATTTTAAAGTCTCTGAAGAGTAAAAGCAGTTAAATAGAGTGGTGAAAACCATCTACTTTTCACAGGGAAGCGTATTCTTCTGGGTGGGTTAGTTGAGACTCAGGTTTTGCATTTGGCAGTCCCAGTTGGTATTGCTCAGACACAGCCAACACTTGCACGTTGGTAAAATGTGAACTCTACAGAATGCATCTTAAACAAAGCTGTGCTCTTTTGGGTTTAATTTGTAATGAGATTTTATTCCCTGAAACAAGTAGGTGCTGTTTTTCACAGTAAGTGGAAATAGAAATGTATTTTATAACTGACTAATGCCAAATTCAGTCTTTAATTCTGATCATGAGGGCCACTCATCACAAGCTGCTGGTCATCCAAATCCTATAAAACAGAAGAAAAGGAAAATCAGGCTTGAACCTTGTGTTACGAAAGTCACTTTTTGGGCAAGTTTGATCGTACAGATGGCAGACTTTGCACCTGACAGTTTTGCACCAAACAAGTGCTTTTAGTGGGTGCAAAAAGGTTTATTTTGTTTTAGACTCTGCATGTACATGAGAGTCCTGCAAAATTAGGCTGTTGAAGCTATGCCGATACTGTAGTTTTACTCAATCTTTCCTTCCCTTGCTTCCAAGCCCCCTTCCCATTGTGTTTCAGATACTTTGGAGTGCTAGCATGGCACTCAGCTGCCTTTGCAGCAAGAAGGGAAGACTTCTTGCTTCTTTTTAAGTTTCTATAGACACGTCACTACCATCCTGTGGCATCTGAAGTCTCATTCTCTTTGCAGGTAGACTTGAGATGCAACTGTAGAACACAGCCTCCTTTTTGCCATAAATGAGGCTACCTGATTTGTAGCAGTGGTGAGACAGAAAAGCCAGGAATTAAAATAACTTGTTTTCCCAAGTTAATTTTTCTGTGTTTTCCAACTAGACATTTCCCTTTCATAAAGTCATTCCCTCTTACCATTATTTTAGCTGTGTCTCAATCTCAAATCAAAATGAACACTTACTGAGAAAAGGTCATAAGTAGGCTCTGGTGGAGTCGGTGCAGAAGAACTTTCATATGAAGGGTTGGTGATACTTGAAGGCTGTGACTTGTCCAGTGGTGTTATGTCAGTGTCATCTTTTGACTACACAAAATCACACAAACCTGCTTAAAATCCATCCTTCTCCAGTGCATTAAGTGGGGCACTTAAGCTTTACTAACAACTGATGCAGTGCTGTGACTGAATTGGTTTTATCACCTAAATCAGTGTCTCTGGGGCATGAACTCTCTCCTGGGTTGTAGTATTACCTCAGGTCACTTAATACTGGGATCTTTTTTCCTCTTCGTGATTGTTTTTAAGCCTCAGCAAAGACTGGGAGATGAAGGGTTGCCCTGACACTGTGCTTGGGGTAAAAGGTACTTCAGGACTTTCATTGCAACTGTATAAAAACACGAGTGCTTCCCCTGACTCCTTCCTTTTTTGTTTCTAGATGATCCACATTGCACGCAGAGGCTGACTAGAATAGGAATGGGTGGCTGGTTACTTCTAGGTAGACTTTCTTTTGGATTGATTCTTGTGCATACTGTAACATTTGGGTCTTTATGGTCATCCCTCATCTTTGAGTAGCTTGGCTTTTGCTGGCTGGTTTTGCATCATTATGACTACGTGAGGCTAGCAAAATTAGTTAAAGCAAGGACGGGAGTGCATCAGTATAAGAATTTGCACTTTTCAGTCCTGCAGTTGTTTAAACTTGCTTGTCTTTTGCATCTGGCCTTTTTCCTATCAAACATTTCAATCTCCAGAGCAGCAAAATGACTAGCAATGCCATAGAGGAGGGGAAAGAGAAGAGGTACCCTTTTCAGTTGTTGTAATTCCCTGCTTCCCAAAGGGTGGGCTTTCTGGAGAGGCAAAGGCTTTTGCACTCATGCTGTGTAGTTAAATCAGCTTTTGCCCAGTCCTTGGTGTTGGAAGTGTCTGTGAGAGCAGGAGCCCGTTGAGCACCCTGGAAGGGAGAGGTCTGAGGGAGCAGTAGGCAAATGTAAGCACATGCCCTGGATGAACCTTCCCCACTTTCTCTGGGTCTTAGTCTGAACAATTCAAGTGGGAAGTGGTCGGGAATGTTTCTGGCTTAATAAAACGCAAAGAGAAGCTGGAGGCTGAGTATGGGAGGTGTGGTTGGTCATGGGAAATGCTTCCCCTTGCTTTGCATTCTGGTCTGCAACTTACCTTGAAGTGCTGGAAGCTTGCGTTCCTCTTCCTGAACCTAAGGTAAAAATACCCAATAAAAGCTACAATCCCAGTAACCACGCAGATGCCAAAGAATATCCCTGTCCCAGCTGCGGTGTGGAGAGGAGCCTGGAAGCAAGAGAGAGGGTAAGTGAGCTGTGGGTGGGCACTGGTCACCTTCCAGCATCCAAACACGTGCAGTGTCCCTTGAGATATGCCCTAGTCCTTCACTGCTCTTGTGCTCAAGTTTCCTGGTACAGGTACACCTAGATCAGTAAATGTGGTCTTTTGATAGTAGTTGCAAGCTAGATTTTTGGGAGGGTGCTGGCCATTGCCTCTACTACAGCTTCATCTTATTTGTGGTTTTGAAGGTACGGAGCCTGCTGGCAAAAAACACCTGTTTTCAGAACACCTTGTTTTGGATAAGAGTGAACACAAAGCCAAGAGTAAAAAGCTTTTCTTGTAAGCTGTTTGGAAGAACTGAAATGGAACTTCATGAAACCTCCATTGTAAAAACAAGCTCCATGGTAAAATGGAGGTTTTATTTTATTTATATGAAATAAATATGGGAAGAACTTGTTCAGACAGAAACATTTGGAAAAGGTTTCACTGGCACCTTGTCCTGAACTTCTGATTTACTTTTGAAGTAATCTTTTAAGCCAAAACTGCATATATAGGAGGAAAAGTGGGAATATGTGAATGTCAGCAGTGAATTTTGGATGATTTAAGCTACAGCCACCTCTCACCACCCCCCTAAAAAATATCACTACTTACTAGTGCTGGTGGAGCCTTTAAAGGCTCTGAAATGACATGGATTATCCCGTTGGAAGCGAGTATATCCCACTCAACAATAGCGCTCCTGTCCACATATCTGATCTCGCTCTGCCAGGAAAAAGAGCAGTGAGAGCTGAGCTTTGACCCTCCTCTCTTTGGAGCTGAAACAAACCTTGAGACTATTTCCCCACTGCAGTTACTGGAAGGTGGCCCCATTTCACAGCTTATCAGGAAGGGAGAGGAATGGGGTCAGTCATTGCTGCCCCAATACTTCTCTATACTCTGCTTTGAGCTGGTCTTGGGTCTCTCCAGCATCTGTGTTTCAGAAGGGTGGGTTCATGGGCATCTGCACCATTGCAAACTCTGCCTTAAAACTGTATCCTAGCAAAATGGTTTCTCCTCAGTGAGCAGAACCCGCTCTTGCCCCTGGCATGAGGTGGTACCTTCATGGTGGTACCCTGCTGCTGGAGCACACGGACACTTTCTGTGCCCAGGGACAAAGGGGCTCAGCAGTGGTGGCACTGCAGAGCGATGTGGGAGTTGCCCCATGTCCTTCTGCCTCAGCCCTGCACTGCCCTGTCAGGGTGCCTGGCTCCAACCTGGTTTGCTGGGACTAGTGGGTGTTTGGCTGCCCGGAGCATGTGTGGAAAGGCACCATGACACCCCACTGAGCCTCACTGCAGCTGGGAGAACCAAAGGTTTGCTCAGGCCCTCCAGGGAAGAAGAAAAGCTACACATCTTCAACCAGCTTTGAAGGGCAGGAGCAAGATTTGGCAGCTTCTGAAGAAAGGAGGATTTTCTTAAGAAGAATGCCTTCAACTCACATGTCAGATCAAAGTGATCCAGAAGAGCTTCTGCCATGCTAATGAATGATACAAGTAAGCCTTGTGCTGGTGCACCCATCTCTCATAAGGGTCTAGTTTATTAATGTGATTGATGGGCTTGCAGTATAGGGTGGTTTTAAAAATATAAACGGTAATTCTTGTGCCAAAGGGGCTTCTCCTGAAAGGGGAGGGAGGAACGGAGCAAAGGCAACAGATGAGTCATTTGTGCACCTCTTCCTGCAGCAACTGTTACCTTCTTGGTGGTGTGCGTGAAAATCCCTCCCCACAGTTGGCATGTTGGGCACTCAACTTCCCTTGAGTCCAGCCCATTCTGTAGGGCACGTTTTAACTGCAAGCTCACAGACACAGGGTTGCTTATTTTCATGCTCAGTTATACAGCATGGCTCACAGCAGTCCCAGCCATGTTTTAAAGGGGTTACTATCCCAGAGGTCAGTTCGAAATGCTTGAGCAGTGAGTATTTGCTTAATAAAAAGTGAGAAGTTATGTGTGTTTTCACAGGAGGTATTCCCCTAAACCATTAAAGGATACTTTCCACTTTCAAGAAAGTTATAAACTTTTGCATTTAAAACCCGCTAAAACAGTAATAAACCCCACTGTTTTGTCTGCTTTTCTGAGCAAGGCTGTGCTGGCATCTCCTGACCCTCCCAGAAAGTTACCAATAAACGTTACAAACGCCAGCACCTTTCTTTAATGATAAACTATTGCTCTCCTTTTTCCTCCTATCATCAAACATAATCCTGCCAGGTTGAGAGAAGGGTTGAATCAGGCCCATATCTGCATCCTACCTTTCCTGCAGGCCACCTGAACACCTTCCTTCCATAAGGGAGGAAAAGGCATGAAAGCGGGAGGTTTATTAAAAAGGTACCTGTTCAGTGGTGGGGGCCTGATGTTTGTGGCCCCTGGTGTTTGTAATGAGGAGTTTTTCCCCTAGACGAGTTACAAGAGTGGTTCCGTTGGTTAAGTCCTCATAAAACATGATGCTGGTGTTAGATAAATGATACTCAATGTCCCGCCCGGCAAGTGTCTGCAAATGAGAGCAATATACAAGGAACGTTAACTGAGCCCATAAATCCTCTGGATTTACCTGCAGGCTAAGTGCCTGTGACCTTTTTCCCTCTTTGCTATTAACGCTGCAGTGAGTGCAGTGTGGGATAGAACTGTTGGGAAATTTGGGTGAGAACAGTGAGATCTTGTGTCCCTGCTGGCCCTGCAGCAGGCAGTACCTTGATTCTGGTAGGAGAAAGGACTTTACTCTTTTTGATGATCTGAAGTGATCAGCCTCAGAGGTATTTCAAACAGCTCAAAGGTGCAAGCCAGGGCATAATCTCTGTGGATTGTTTGAGACGATGTTTGATTGAAGAAAGGAAGAAGGAGATAACCATAGAAAGGAAGCTCGGGACAGAGGCCTTTAAAGTATTTGCAGGAAATACCAAATCTGTGCACTGCTTTCTTCAAATAACTGGGCTTGATGTTAACAAGGCAGACAGACTGCATCTCAGGCAGTCCTTTGTAACTGGGTAAATAAAATCTCTGGTGGAAGAGTCTCTATAGCAACTGAAACACTCAATAACCTTGCACTCCTAACCATGGAAGACAAATTATGAAGCACAGTTTACACTATGTGGGGTTACACAGAAGTCATGTCATACTAAGATTTTATCCTTAAATGCTTGAATTTCACCAGGATGCAGAAACACATAACGGCTGTTTAAACACTCTTATTAAAATGAGATGGAAAAAAAGAAACCCCCCCTGACCTCATTTTCCCTTAGCCCATTATCATTTGGAGCAAAGAGAGTGGCGTGCACTGACAGGTCCGTGAGGTACCGCAGGAACTCTCTCCCCTTCCTAGAGGTGTTGGAGTAAGCCATGATGTCCTAGGCAGAAACAAGATCCAGCTTTACTAAAGAGCAATTGTGTGCTCCTGTGCAGGAGCTGAAAAGATGAGACCATATAAATAAGAACAAAGATTTCTGTTACTAGCCAAGAAGCACCTCTAGAGTGACATTACAAAAGAAGTTTGTATTCAAAACCCAGTTTTAACTACAGATTTGATGAGCACATCTTAAACTGACTTGCAGGATCTGTCCCTTCTTGTCTGTGAGGTTATTTGTACATACCATGTCTTTCTCAGTAGTGGCATGAAAAGGACCCTTAAACGTTTTGCCTTTCTCCAGCAGCAGTTCAGTAAAGTTACAAAGCAGCACACTTCTTGTGATGCTTGCAAATCCAGAAGCAGTTGGGCACAGAATCTCCTGTAAGCTAAAGCTGCAGAAGCATTTTATTTTGTAGAACCATATCATAGAATGGTTTGGGTTGGAAGGATCTTGAAGATCATCTAGTTCCAACCCAGATTTGACGCTAAATCTGCAGCAGTGTTTTGTTTCCAAATGAGTTTTAGGAGCACGAAACCTCTTTGGAGCACCTAATTAAAAAAACATTAACTAAGTTTTAAATTTGATGGTGCGTATTAAGGCCACTCCCCCTTGCTTTGCTAGTGTGGTGGTGTTACCTCTCTGTATTTGCTGTGATAGTAAAGCAGTCACTGAGATACAACCTGGTGGCAGAGCTTACTTTGCTCTGCTCACGTGCCCGCTGTTGGCCGTACCGACAAGAAGTTTGTCAGCGTTGGGAACGACATCAGCACTTGGAGCAGGTTCCCACTGCAGGAGAAGCCATCCCCAATGTAGCCTGGCTTGCAGGTGCAGTTCACCTCTGGAAGGTACAGACATGGATAGCAAATGCCCTGTTTGAAAAGCCTTTAGGCTGCCCTAAGAAACAACTTGTGGGAAACAGATTATTATTCTTTTTAAAGTTAAAAAGAGGCAGAGTCTCTCGCAGTGTTATATGGTAGCTTGTGGTTGACCAAAAGAACCACCCTTTTGTGCAGAGGGATGCAGCAAAGGACCCTCTTACCTTTCTCCCTGTAGCAGAAGACATCCCAGGTTTCACTCAGGTTGACTCTTGTGCCATAATCCACGATGCCGACGTACCCAGAGCCGCAGTTTGGGGAGGAGAAGGCAGTCGGGTAGCCCACTCTCTGTCCGTCTAGCCAGCCAGCAGAGCACAAGTGGTACCTTGCCTGCAGTGGCACAGCCATAGGGAAAAAGTACAGAGGAGAAGCTGGGTGGTGGGACTGGGGCTCTGTGGGAGAAATGAGCGATCTCGCTGGGGTGTTCCAGCAGATTCTGACCTGTCAGCACTCTTCTGGTGGGGTTTTGTCCATCCATGCATCCTGCAACCTACTGTGTGCTGAGCTCTGTGCCAAGGGGCTGCAGAGACATGGCCCCCTCTGGAATTCAGTGGCTCCTTGTAAGGACCAAAGGAGCCTTCCCTGGGAAAGCTTCCCTGAGGCCCAAAGCCAGGCAGGATCAGAGGTGGGTGTGAAAGCCAAAGGGAATGTGAAATGCTACTGTGTGCCAGCCCACCTTTTGTCAGCGTTGGAAGGACTGACAAACTAGCTCAGCACAAAGTAAGTCCTCAGGAGCACTGGAGCTAGCCCTGCTGCCCACTTTGCTGCTTCGAGG